AATGCCAGCGGAACATCGATGTCGACGACTCCTTGGAGCACCTCGCCTGAGATGCGGACGAAATCTGGGAAGTGCAAAGAGAGGGATTCTGGGGTGTGCATCTTGTGCTGGGCTACCGGACTGAGCTGCGCTCACATCTCGCTTTATGTAACGGTGACGAGCATCAACCAAGCGACAGGCGATGCTTCGGGCGGTGATTTGTTGCGCGACGCCTCTGTCTTGGTTGGTCGAGAATCTCCAGAACTGATCCATGGGCGCTACATATAGTAAGGCGTTCATTCGGTGTTTCTTTCACATCGCACGACGTAGACCGCACACAATACAAAAGAGGGACCGCACACCACGGACGACGACGGTCGATCTTGCGGATCAAATTCACAACAATTTTGAAGCGCCAAGACTGAGATTTTCAGCCATCTGCAATTAGAGTTGAAGACATCGCATCTAGCTAGAACTCAATTGTCAGACATTGCAGTCTATGGCTTTGTGTTCGCTATGTTTTTTAGTCCCCATCTGCTCCAGTCACGTTGAGAACCTCGTATAGCCAACTGTGACAACTGGGCAACTGCGCAAACGTCGGCATGCATCATGGCATGGCCACAAGACCGTACAGCCTCGGATCATTCACCGCTGTTCGTCACTGAAATGGAGAGGGCCAAGGCTTCAAGACCGAAAGCACAAGATGGAAATGGTCTCCATTTCTGCCGTGCTCAGAGCTTCGACATCTCCCAAATACATCCTTATGCGCTCGAGGAGGCCTGAGCTGCGGGCTCAGAGGACGCAACCGAGACTGAAGGTGTCTGGAACTGTGATTGGCTCGCAGGTAACTAGGAAATTTATTCACATTAGTCTAAAAGCCCTTCGGACCACTGCACAGCTGCTATACAGGCGGTCATCCTCCAGCGCTCGGTACTTGAGCCCGCCTTACTTGCGAGCCGTGCGTGGGAACATCAGCTCCCATCTTGATCCGTCACAAAGCCGACCCAACGGCCTTTGACTGGAATACAGTAAGCGAGAGGTAAGCGGCTGGCAGCCGCCGCCGCTGGCCGTAATGGTCCAAAAGATGGAATTCTAGTCCTTGCCACGCTCATTGCACATGCGCGGTAGAGAAAGACACGGCTTTGTGTCTCACAGGTTGTACAGTATGTGCGTGCCTAGATTCTATCCTCAGCTGATAGGCGCCAGTTCGTGTGCGACTTCTCGGATTGTTCAGTATCAACAGCCAACTTTCGAATCCTACCGTTATCAAATATGACATGCGGCGCAACAATTCGCATCTTCAAGCTCAAGAGTGAGCGTAAATAGCATCTCTCGCTCAATGTCCTTTAAAAACAGTACATCCCGAATCCATCTCTCCAGGGTACCCTAGATCGATTTATATCTGCCTAGCCATAGTTTTCTGACCGGCCCTGAGAAGCGTCCTTTGTTTGCGGAAAGCAAGGTGAAAGACCGGCGTGTGCTTGATAGGTCCGCTGTGCCTGAGACTGTCGCGTTTCGATGGATGTGGCCGTCAGAAAAAAAAGATGAGACACGGGATGGGAGCCGCGGATTGGCTTGCGGGATCTACAGCATGTTGTTGGCGCGCTGTTGGGATTGTCGAGACCCAAGACTTCATTTGATTTCGAAAGCTTGTATCAACTTGCGTGAGGTGTGACTTATCAGGCACGCCATCAAATTGTGGTATCAGGCTCTTCCTCTGCCATCCATGTCCCCGTCGACGGCAGCGACGACCGTCGACGACGACCGGCCACCACAGCAAACAACCTACTCCTACGACGACCAGTCCATCCTCGAGTCAGAGGAGAGCAGTGTCGATGATGTCTTTGCGTTCCTGCCCCCGACCACCGCCGATGGCGCTCCCCACGAGTATCCACCACTGGAATACCCAGCGCCCGTCTACGACCCTGCAACACCTGTTCGCGTCTCCTTGCCCGGCACTGCGGAGAAGGATGATGTGCGAGAGGAGTCTTATGCTCAGACTGAGGCTTCAGAGGAAGGGTCCATAAAGTGCGTTGATAGCGGCTCCATTTTCGGCGATTTTCTCAAATCGATGCATAGAATGGAATTCGACTTCGATGCCATTGAGGAGGAGGACTCGCCATTTCCCGAAGTACGAGCGTCGGTATCGAACGTTGACGACCCCGAAATGCCAACCCTGACTTTCCGGATGTGGTTTGTGGGGCTCATCCTCTGCGGCGTAGCCGGATCTCTCAATGTATTCTTCAACTTCCGATCTCCTGCACCCTCTGTAGTCCCCCTTGCCCTGCTTCTCATCGCCTACCCCTTTGGCAAGTTCCTAGCCTTCGTGCTGCCCATCAGGACATTTCGCATTCGCTCTCTCGAGTTCTCTCTCAACCCCGGACCTTGGAATATCAAGGAACATGTCCTCGTCTTTATCATGGCCAATGTCGCTGTGGGAAACCCGTATGCCCTCAACGCCGTCGTCGTATCGGAGTATTTCTACCACATGAATGTGCGTTCCCACAATCTGACATGGCTTCATGTCCTTGACTAGTCATTCCAGCTTAGCTACTGGTTCTCGCTGCTACTGGTACTAGCCACACAGCTCACTGGCTTTGGTCTGGCGGGAATATGTCGGCGGTTCCTGGTTTGGCCAGCGAGCATGGTCTGGCCCCAAAATCTGGTCGCCTGCGCGCTGCTCAACACGCTTCATGCCGAAGAGGACGAATCGTCTGGAGGATTGACCCGCTATCGATACTTCATGATGGTCGCTGGAGGAGCGTTTGTGTTCTTTTTCCTTCCAGGTACTTGCTCGGTTCATGAAATGCACCATCGTTTAATCCCTGTTCTCGCTAGGCTTCCTCTTCGAGGCGCTCTCTGTCTTCTCCTTCGTTTGTTGGGCAGCACCCAACAACATCCCGCTCAACCAACTGTTTGGTGTATCTTCTGGACTGGGCATGAGTGTCCTCACCTTCGACTGGACAGAAATCTCCTGGATTGGGTCTCCGCTGATGGTTCCCTGGTGGGCCCAGGTCCACGTCTTCTTCGGATTTGTCATGTTCTTCTGGATCCTGGTCCCCGCCCTGTACTATACCAACTCGTGGAATCTTGCGTACTTCCCCATATCAGCCAACGTTCCCTACGACCGTTTCGGCAACCAATATGACGTTGCAAAGGTCTTGACTGCTGCCGACACTTTCGATCCGGCGGCCTACGACAACTACAGTCCGCTCTATCTTTCTGCGACTTACAGCATGACATATCTCTTGGCGTTCGCACTCAGCACATGTGTGATTGTACACACCTTGTTGTACCATGGCCGCAGTCTCCTCAACGGCTTGAAGAAGATGCGCGTCGAGAGCGATGACATCCACGCCAAGCTGATGCGCAACTATCCAGAGGTCCCGGACTGGTGGTATGCGCTTGCTTTCTGTGTATTTTTCAGCTTGGCTATTGTCGCCATGGAGGTTTGTGCTCATTTCTTTCCTGTGTCTGCGTTCTCATCGCCTCTCAGGTGTGGCACACGGCTGTCCCTGTCTGGGCCCTCATTCTCGCGGTCGCCCTGCCAATCATCTATATTCTTCCATCTGGATTCATCTATGCAATGACTGGCCAGGAGGTTCGACCGCCAACGCATGTTCATGATTTGATCTGATGCTTTTGTGCAGATCACCCTGAATTTGCTCGCTCAAATTATTCCCGGTTCTTTGCTCCCGGGAAACCCGCTCGCCAACATGGTACGAGCATAGCTTCGAGTCTTCTCACAGCATTACTCACCGATGGTTTCCCAGATCTTCAAAGCATATTCAGTGCAAACGCTCACCGAGGCCACTTCGTTCATTCAGGATCTCAAATTGGGTCACTACGTCAAGGTCCCGCCTCGAGCGTCGTTCCTCGTGCAATTGGTGGGAACCGTGATTGCTGCATTTTTGCAAGTTGGAGTCAAGACGTGGATATTTGCGAATGTGGAAGACATCTGCACACCAACACAGAAGAGCCAATTGACATGTCCGCACAATCAAGTGTTTTTCACGGCCTCTGCGATCTGGTTAGTGGTTGCAGCTTCACGAGAGTATCGTTTCACTGATCCGCGCAGGGGTCTCATCGGGCCCAGCCGTCAGTTCGGCAAGTCTTCGATCTACCACCCGGAGTTGTATGCCCTGGCTATTGGCGCTGTGCTCCCGTTGCCGTTCTGGTTCTGGCAGCGCAGGTATCCGAACAGCTGGATCAAGTATATCAGCACGCCTGTTGTTCTGAACGGAGTGTCTGGCATTCCTCCTGCGACCGGGATCAACTACTCGGCGTGGTTTGCAGTTGGACTTCTGTTCCAGTACTACATCCGGAAGCGGAACTTTGCGTGGTGGAGCAAATTCAACTACATCACCAGTGCCGCGCTAGACGGTGGAACGGTCATTTCGCTTATGATGATCTTCTTCGCCCTACAATGGCCGAAGAACGGTACCCTTTCCCTGAACTGGTGGGGAAATACTGTATATCAGAATAGTGGGTGGCGATCTTGCGTCGACTTAGAGCAGGGCTGATGAATTGTTTCCAGCGGCCGACTATCACAGGACACCGTGGAAGAAGATCCCTCCGGGCGGCATCCCCATGTCATAGTCTGGGCCGGCCGCGAGGGTTTCCCGTGTCTTCCGAGGATGACGGTCGAGACAGACATCAACCCCACGGCTACGCACCCCGCATCTCTCTGCATCTCCAATACATATCGATATCCTCAACTATTACCATCATCTAGTAGCTTACATCGGAGCACTCGAGTCCGCGTTGAGCGCTGCAGCACACATCTTTCGTTCTCTCTCTTTTTTTGGATACTGGGTCTTACTTGTCTCGCTGCGCGCCCAAACCACCCATGGCCTCGACGACTCTCCGCCTCTGCGCTCTGAGCGTTCTGTATGTCTGATATTTAGAACACCTCCGATCATTTCCTCTCCTTCACTGCAGCCTGGGTGTCTGTCTGTCCCTGTCTCCCTCTCTCTTGTAGTACTACACATATATATTAACTATAGCTGGATTCCTTGTGCACAAAATGAAACATCCGTCGCATTTCAGAGCAACTTTTCATCGTAGGAACCTTCAATCTCGATGATCTTCTCGACCGCTCGTTTCCTGCTCTCGATGCCCTTCAACAGCTCGCAGTACGCCCAGAGCTTGGGGTACGTCTTTTCAGTCACCCGGCCGTACATCGCGCTCGCGCCTTCCTGGGACATCATCACTGGGAAGCTCATCAGGATGTCCGCTGCCGTCAGGTTGGGCCCGCAGAGGTACGGCCCGCCCTCGGGCGCGGATGCAAGCTGGGCCTCGAGGAAGTCGAAGTGGGCCTTGCACTCTGGCTCGAGCGTTTGCTCCACGCGCGCCGCGATGCGAGAGAGGATGGGGCGGATGTAAAACGGGGCGGGCGCATGCGCCATGCCTGGTCCAAGAACTCGTGAATGAATGAACGGGAACTTGCAGTAATTGCAGGCGACGCACCGAATGGGACGAGTTTCATTAACATCGCGGACATGAGCGAGCCCTCCGCGTAGTGCATGTAGTACCGGTACAGCATCCACGCGTCCGTCTCGCCGCCGAGCTGGCCCTCGCGCCCGGGCTGCCACTTCGCGGGGACCAGCGTCGACTCGGGGCCCGCGGCGAAGTGGTCGCACAGGTACTCGCTGATGAATGCGGACTCGGCGACCGCACGGTCGCCGACGGTGAGCAGCGGGGACTTGCCGAGGGGGTGCACGTTCTTGAGGGCGGGGTCGCCGCGCATCTGCGCGTTGCGCTTGTAGGTCTTGACTTGGTACGGGACTTTGAGCTCCTCGAGCAGCCAGAGGGTGCGCTGCGCGCGCGACTTTTCGAGCCAGTGCAGGGTTATCGTGGGTGCTTCGGTTGAGGACATGGCGGGGAGTGCGTCTTGGTTCAACTAGTTTTCGTTGAGAAGCGTTGCTGCTAAGCCTTACTGCGAAGGGTTGTTATGAATAGTTTATCCCGTAGGAGGCCGGCGTCTAGAATAGGCGGCGAGAGAAGGACCGGGGATGTCGGTAGATGTCGGTCGTACGGCCGATTACTCATGTGAGAACAGTGCGGTGGACCGCTGGCCGCCGAAAGCAGAGAAGAGGGCTCGAAGCGTCTGAAATCTTGGGCGATCCGGATCCGGTAAAGGATGATCCGGACTGTAGTGACGTCATTCTTCCTAGAAAGCTTGCTCTCACGGCGAAGGGCGCCTGGTATGAAGGGACTGGCACTGGCAGCACCTGGCACGTCGTAGGGTTTCCTGCACCGAAACGCATGCCCACTTCTCACGCCCCCGCCTCCAGAAACCCAGGGCGCGATCACGAACGTACTCACGGGCCGTGCTCTTATTCAACCGCTGCAATGTTGAGGTATGCACGTGCACTGTTCATGGCTTGGATGCGTTGTTGAGGGCGGCGCCGACAGCGTACTGGCGGCAATGTGAGCCAACTTCCCCTCAATCTGCGGCACTCTACATGCATATCAGCCTCGCCTTTGTCTGCGTCTTCATTGGCCTCCCCTCGCCAGTGAAACCCGACCCGCTGTCGTCCACAGCGGCACAAGTGGCATCAACATCTTCATTCAACTGCGCCTCCCCGCCCTTGAACAACTGCTCTTTCTACGCTGAGTGTCTAGAAACGCGGTACCACTGCGGGCCGCAGGGCTACCCCATCGGATACGGCCAGAAATTCTGCACCAAGTTCCAAGCCCAGGAAACGCGTTTCACGCCCGCCGGACAGACTTGGATGGTCAACACAATGCATTGCTTGCAAGAGGCGCTGGTGCCCGAGGCTACGGGCTCTGCTAATTCGTCGACGGACTGCAGCGCGTTGGAAGATAGAGCGTTCTCGACCCACGCTCCATGTTACATCAAGAACGGTCTCTGCGCGCTGCCGCCTGTTGATTGGGACGAGATCATCGATGTCGTGGGTGTACAGACGCTGTTCAATTCTTGGGATGCTCTGAAGGCGTCGCTTGCTGCTGGAGTGGACTGCTTGGAGTTCTACGGGCATCTAGTAGCACGGCTGCTCTAGTGATGAAGTGGATTCATTGGCTCATAGCTGTGAATGCATTGAAGTTGTAAACAGCTGGGCGATCGGTGAAACAGAATCCTTTGGCTTCACATTGAGCTACGATTTGTCCTTCGCGCTCCAGTGTCACCAGCATGCTGCCGCCGACGTCAAGTGGATGAGACAACTTGTTGATGCCGTAGCCAATGGAGGTGAACGCGGGAGCATTCTCGCCGCTACGCAAGCAGACAGTTCCAGGTCCGGACGACAGGATCAGAACCCAAAACACATCGTCCGTCTGGTGTTGACCAGTCAGACCACATCAGGACTACGACGACCTGAAGCCTACCAATTCCCAATTAGCTGGACGGGGGACAGAGTCAGGAGCCGTGGCTGATCGCGTATGCGGGCGTCCCCAAACATAAATTTCGTCGCGTTCGATCCGAGGATACACCCCGTTCTTGAAGGCTCGGATGAAAAACGCACTCAGCCGCAGCCAGGCTCCGTGCGGGAACCCGTCGACCCAGGCCTCGGAATTCGGCTGCGCACCGCGAACGGTAGGGCAGATGTAATGCGATTCTCCGTAGTCTGGATGGGCATCAGCGCCGATAAGAGATTCATTTTAGCGTAAATGCAACCCACCATTCCATGAGATTATCTGGATGATGTCGATCGCGTCACGGCGCGAGACGAGATCCTCCCATCGACGGACAAAAAGCCAGTCATCGCCTCGGTAGATCCACTACATTGATTTGAAGTCATGAGTGGAGATGGGTAGCAGACGAGCTGAAATGGAGATTACGTTCTTGTTCCACGTGTCAGGACCGTAATGCTGTCATGCAATTCAGGACAAGAGGTGCCGAGTTGAGGAACGACTTGCGGTGAAGAACCAGGGAGAGACGGATGCCATGAACAACCTCTTTGAGAGGCTCTTGACATGGTGCAGGTCAGTATCGAGGCGAGGGTACTCGGTCTCATGGCGGGGATGTCCCGGTGTGAGATGATTCGGCCAGCTCCCATTCCACTGAGTGCAATCGATGAGTTGCTGTTTTCCTGCATGGTAAGAAAGTGATGCACATTGAAAGCGCCGTCAATGACTGGCAGATCAGGATATCTTGCGGGGTCAATAAAGAAGGCGGGGATGAATATGATCTGTTTCATGAATTTCAGCATACAGATAGATTTCCAGATGGGCAGCCTTCGTACTGGGACGATGTTCTCCATCTCTTGTCGAGCAAAAGTCCACGCTTCGTTCATACCGCCAACTTGGCCGAACTTACTGTTCTCTCCCGCAAAGGTCGAGACGAAAACACGTCCACGGTGCCGATACATTTTGGTGTGGGAACCAAACGCGCGCAAGTAGCGGCAGAGATGGTCTGTATCCGATACAGAGGAGGACGGAATAGAACTGTACTCGCGTCGATCGCGGTCCAAAGCATCCAGGAGCGGTGCCCACCTCATGTCAAAGCTCAGAAACAGCAGAAAGGGTTGGGTGAGGCCCGCTGCAGCGTCAAATGCGCGCGCGACCTGGTCGAATTGCCAGTCCTCCTTCCCGACGTTGAGCACGAATCCGTCTCTTCCGAGCGATCGGTTCAGATTATCCGCGTGCGAGGAGACTGGGATTACATGCCGTGGGAGGCCGCCTGCGTCATGTCTGCATTCCAATCGGTGCCTTTGTACGGCTGGAGACGAGTGAGATTGGGTCCGCCCGTGCGCCGCTACGTGTGCCTCACGTATGTGTTTCCCACCATAAAGCTGCTATATTAAGAGATCGTGTCACGGACCACGAACAGCACACACTGAGCAAAAACACGCTTTGCATCGCTCATCGAGATACGCGACGGGGAGGACACAGACGCGGAGTGCGTTCGCACACACCGCCACTGATTCGGGCATCGCGTCCTCATTTGGCAACTTGTGACTGATCCTGTTGACACTCGCGAGCATTCCCGCTGCCCCCGGGACCAGATCGCAACCTATATATCAATTGTAACGTGTTCTCCAGCCGAGGACAAAACGCACCCGCCACATCCAAACAATGCGCGTGGCTGGAGTACGCGAACCTGGACCGGCGCGCTGTTTCTATGGAGTTACTTGAAACATTCCAGGAAATGCAGGCTGGGCCTTGCTGCAGAGGCATATAAGTGACTGGCGCGTACTTTTCTGGCCCATTGCTCTCAGATCCTCTTGTTCTTCCAACGACCTCTTTATGCCTTCCAACGACGGACCTTTGACGCTTCACTTTCATGACTGCACTCGCGTTGCTGGGGAGACTATCTACGGCCTTGTCGATATAGACGTGCGCGCCGCTCTCGAAGATGGCATCAACCAAGTCTGTGTGACTCTATGCGGGACCATTCATGCGTACGGATTCGATTCCGCTCGTCTCTGCTCTGGCCGTGCTCATCCTCTGCATGTAGCCGGCTCTCTGTGAACATCGCTCGCACGACTGTTCACAAGGAACAAAGCATTATAGTCAGTCTTCTTTCGAGGCACTGTGTAAACATGAGCGTAAGACCTCGCAGCTGTTTTACACGCGACTGCCACTGCTTAGCGAGGACTCGGACACCCTCCGCTTTTCTCCCGGAGAGAAGACGTTGTCGTCACCTTTTCAATTCACGTTCCCGCACGACGTGCCACCGTCGTTTCACACGCGCGGGAAGCACCACGAAGGCACGATCGCTTACTGCATCGAGGTGGCAGGCCGCAAAGCGGGTGATGTGACTGCGAGGAGGCAGATCCGGCAGCTCATATCTCTTGTCCCACCGGCGTCCATTACACAGGTTGCAGCGCGTGAGTGCCTCACGTTCCCCCGAGAATCTGAATGGCGAGAGTACAATACAACGAAGAAGGTCCGCCGCGGGATCCTGGGCTCAGACTCCGAGGCGCGTCTCAAGGTGAGCTGCGCTATCACGGCACTGTCTGCTTCATCTGACGCGCAGACGTTTCTAGTTGTCCATTCCGGATCTCGCCGCATATCCCATGAGTTCCGACATCCCTTTTGTTCTACGGGTAGAGACGGCCACGGAGCCGATGCGCAAGAGCGGCGAGGCACCGCTGGATAAGCGACGCAAGCCCATGTTTCCCGCGCCCCCGACCGAATCGGGCCAGGTGGGAATGCATCTGCATCGCCGCATGGAGATCCATGTCGGCCGCCAGACGAGCGCTGCCGAGGATGACTTTGAGCTGGACAGCCGTCCCTCGGCTGACACCAGAGTCGTTGTCGACGAGCCCCAATGGGTCGCGGGGGATCGCAAGGGCCGAGGTTCTTGGCACCGCGCTGTCACCTTCCGGGGCTCGCTGAATCTCGCGCTCGTTCCAACGTACAGCGCTGATTATCTGTCGTGGAAGGTATTTGCTTTTGTGTCCTGCTGCTTGCGTGCGCATCGCTCAACTCACCGCGCTATGCAGTACTCTCTGCGATTTGTGGTCAGATTTCCGGGCAAGGCCAATGAGGTCGAACTGGAGGTCCCGATATGCATCCATCCGTCGTTCGAGTGTCCACCGCCTCCCATGGAAATCCCTGACCCACGTTCTGTGGATCCCAAATCCCATGGCAATCTCGAACTACCTGCGTACGTTTCACATGCTCTGAGGTTGGCACATCCACCTACTGACTCCTCTCACACAGGGCCTATTGGGCGAACAACAGCAGTCGCATCTGGGACCTTGAAGATAACTGACGAGCATACATTTCTAACATCTGAAGACATGATCTACACTATGACTCAAGGCGTCGCTCGGCCGGGCCACCTGGTAATTGATATTAGCCACGATTTGATAACTCGATAGAACCTTGATTACCTGGGGTATAATGAACAATCACGGACAGTGAACCGGTTAGCAAGCCAAGCGAGCAGTCGCTGGTTGAGGATTGATAATCAACATCACGAATCGAGCGGGAAGATGAATAAACTGACCTCGACACCGAGACCGTACCCTCCGTGTGGGCATGTGCCGTACTTGCGCTGATCCGTGAACCAGTAGTAAGGCTCCAGGGGAATTCCTTCACGCTTGTATGCAGCAACCAGCTCATCCACCGCGTCGATCCTCATCGAGCCGCCGACAATCTCACCAACGTTGGGCATCAGCAGATCACAGCTCTCAGTGAACACAGTCTTGCCGTCCGCCGAGGGGATCTTCCGCATGTAGAACGCCTTCAGTTCGGCGGGGAACCCGTGCAGGAATATGGGCTCGCCGATGATATCCGTCATCTGGCGCTCAGCGGCTTCCGCAATGTCATCTCCGATCGCGTGGTTGACCATCACGACCTGCCCACTCTCATCCAGAATGGGGTTTTCGTCGGCATCTTCCGCAGGGTGTTTAATGCCATGCTCGTTCAGCCACGCGATGGCATCGGAATACGACATGCGCATGAAGGGCCGTTTCGGCGCCTTGAAATCGGGGTTGAGTTGCTTGATTAGCGATGCGGTGCTGGGGTTCGCGAGCAAGATATCCACGCTTTCGCAAATCTGAACTCGTGATTAAAAAAAATCAAGCAATCCGAAGGGTCTTCAAACGCACCACAGCCTCAATATGCGTCATCAAGTCGTCGAAGTCGATGAAAGCGAGCTCAGCCTCCAAGTGGGTGTATTCACTGAGATGGCGCCGGGTATGACTTTTGAAGAATCAGCACAAAGTCTTGAACTGAAGGTGTGGATAGTATTACCTGTTCTCAGCTCGGAAGCTTTCTTGCACACAGAACACGTCTCCCAGACTCGGCAAACATGTTTCCAAATACAATTGAGAACTTTGGGTGAGGAACGCCGGCTGGCCGTAGTAGTCGAGCTTGAAAAGCGTCGCGCCACCCTCGACCTGGGTTTGCACTAGACACGGTGTCGTGACTTCGATGATGCTGTGTTTTTCGTAAACGGAGCGGAAGGCGCTGAGCATGGCGGCACGAAGCCTGAGCACACTCGATGCTGTCTCGCCACGAATCACCAGATGGCGCAGATCAGCGAGGGTCGAAGGGTCCGAGTGCTGAATGGCTGTGAGATAATGAACGATCGAGAGCGATGTTACCCACCTCGTTGACTTTGTTGTTGAACGCGTCTTCACCGCCGGGGGATCCACCGACCAGCTTCCAGAAATCGACGATCAGTTCATGGCCCCCAGGCGCCGTCTTTCCCTCCAGCACAGGCTGCAGAGTTCCGACAAGCTCGACAGCGGACTCAACAGCGAGAGTGAGTGCTTCGTAGGTTTGAGTCTACGAAATAGTCAGTTGACGTCCAGCCAGCTGAGGTGCGATCAGCCTTACAGCGGTACCGGAGAGCAGAGCTTGGAGGTAGCCGGTGCCATCCCGCAAAACAATAAAGACCAGTCCTTTTTGGACTCGTAGTCGATGGACCCATCCAAACACACGAACTCTCTGCGATCGGAGTGGCTCAAGTTGCGCGATCTTGGACTATAGACTTTTGGTCAGAGAGATGTGATAATGCGCAAAGAAACGCGATCAGACCTTTGTAGCTTTGGGAAGACTGGCATCCTCGACTAGAACGATTTTCTTGCTCTCTTCCAAGACCTGCAGCCGTTTCTCCTTCTCAGCAGCTTCGGCGCGTGCGATCTCATCCGCTTTCTTCTTCTTCTTCTCCAGTCCCTCGGCAGTCTTCTTGGCTTTCTTGACGGAGGATTGCGTCGGCTCCTCGTACGTCGCGGATGCGTCTTTGCGGGTCAGGAATGAAGACTCGGCGCCGTGCGTGAAGAGGGCGAAGCCGAGCGACTGATAAGGCTGATCTGCGCTCCCTACGCCGGTGGTGTCCGATCCAGTCGCCTCGTCGATGTGGATGGCGGTCATGGTTGTGCACCGAGAGCAACAACAGGTGAGTTGGTGGAAGAAGGAAAGTAGGTATGGGAGGTCAGATCAAAATGTGGATTGTGACTCGATCTTGATTCCTGAGATGCAGAAAGTGGATGTGATAATTGATATCTTTTCGCTGCCTCGCAACGAAATCATCGGCTGCAGAGATGCGATTGGAAGCGGGACCTCAGGCTCAAGCCAGGGAACACAGTCGAGGAAGGAACGCGTTGCGATAGAGAATAAGCACCCGCACTTTGCAATCACGATGTGCTCTCAATTCGAAATCTTTGACGCGTACTCAAACGGGCACATTGCGCGCAATGCACGGAGCCGATACATTGCGAGAGGCCTCGGGCTCTACTTGTGCTAGTATGCTCGCGTGCAACAAAAGTGTGAACGGCTGTGCCGCCGTTGTTGGCTGATGTTGACCGTCATACTCTTGATCTTGCCCTCCACAATAAAATGGTAACGCTCCCACTTCATTCAGCCCAGGCTTTGTGCTGACTTGCTCCAGTTGCCTTTATCGCTTCTGAATGCTGCCCAGAACAAACCTATGGTATGCTGCGTCGCGGATCCCAGTCGTTCGATCGCTAAACCACGATGATCCGCTAGTTAGTTGAGCTCAAGAACGGCGAGACCTTCAACGGACATCTCGTCAACTGCGACAATTTCATGAACATCACGCTACGCGAAGTATACCAAACGAACACCGAGGGCGATCGTTTTTGGAAGCTGAAAGAGTGCTACATCCGTGGGAGCACAGTACGTGACGCGTCTCGGCGTTCGCGACGTCCTCTCAACGTGCAACGCAGATAAAATATCTCCGGGTGCCCGATACGCTGCTTGACGCGGTCAAGGATGAACAGCATCGTGCTAGGGATGCGGGGCGAGGTGCCAGGGGGTCTTTTGTGGGCGGCGGCAATCGGGGTATGTTCTCGCACATGTTGTCTAGTCGTTTCGCTCACTCGTAACAGGACGGGGCGCACCAGCACGAGGAGGTGATTTGGAACCATCCACTATGTCCTGTAGCTCACCGCTGCTTTCTAGGTCGCGGCGGACGCGGCGGGCCCATGCGTGGCGGGAGAGGACGCGGTCGAGGGATGTGATCTCGAGCTGGGTGAGCATGTATCACTATGTATTGTGTTTCTCTCTGCAATCACACGTTTTTGCCGCAACCCTTGTCCAAACTCTTCTCTTTTCTGAACTTACCGTGCTGCGCGACCATTGTAGCCCACGATGCGCATCGATGCCCGCTAGTGAAACGTAGCGAATTCGCTGGATACTGAGTCTGGGCATGAGGGCCTAGTTCCGTGGCCTGTGATATCATCGAGCGGCGTTTTCATTCGCTTACAAGATCACATATCCCTCCAGGGACTCCCTTCGTATGACCGGAGGCCCGTTCTCCTTATTCTTGATGAAGGGGAAGCTGATGGGTTTCGATGCCGTCCACATCAGTTTTCGAACTCTGCGTGTACTCGAGATTGCTCTGAAGTCTGGTAGAGTCCGACTCAATCAGGACCAAACAGCCGTTCTATATTGCGATTTCTGTTGAGCTCTTGAACCACTTCCCTGATGTGAAATTTCGGGGATATCAAGTCATACACGCTGTGTTGGCGAATGTGCATACCGGACTGGTGGCAATCCCAGCGAGATCGTAAGTAACCATGCGTGGAATCACGTGATGGCGCGCCGATTGACAGCCTGATGATCGATTGCTTTCCGAATCTTTGCGTTCAACTTCCATGTTCTACATCATTGGCTTGGGTCTCTGCGATGAACGGGACATTACTGTTCGGGGTCTGGAGGTGACTTGACAATTGACCTCCGAAGTCTCCTTTCCCATCGCCTCTAGGCTGTGAAAGGCTCAACGCGTGTATACTTGGAAGCCTATACCAGTATCTTGATGGTTCAGAAAGAACGCCTGGTCTGTCAGCAATCGCTATTGTCCTGCGCCTGTTCATTCACGCTTATCCGCAAGGAAGGAGTCTTTCTATGAAAAAACACTAATCTTGGCGGATCGGGACATGGTTGAAACCCAAAGCGACGAGATCTTGGACGGCGCAAAAGACGTTGATGTTGCACTGCTTGTGGTCGGAGATCCCCTGGGGTGAGTTCATCTATTATTGATGATATATCTCTGAGCTTTTTCAGGGCCACCACCCACACTGATATAATTCTGCGCGCACGATCACTCGGGATCCCAACACGCGTGATCCACAACGCGTCGATCATGAATGCGATCGGCGCTTCTGGTCTGCAGCTCTACCAGTTTGGGCAGACCGTGTCCCTCGTGTTTTTCACGGAAACATGGAAACCGGACAGTTTCTACGACCGCATCGAGGAAAATGCCAAGTTAGGTCTCCATACTCTCGTTTTGTTGGACATCAAAGTCAAAGAGCAGAGCGATTATAATCTAGCGCGGTTCGTAATTCTTTTCTGTGTTGATCCTATCCTCAATATTTTTTTTTTGCTCAGTGGACGCAAAATCTACGAGCCTCCTCGATATATGTCGATCCCGCTGGCTGTGAAGCAATTGCTTGAAATCGAAGAAAAGCGCCAAACGGGATCTTGGACGGGGCCTCCACTCTTGCGGTTGCGCTTTCTCGCGTTGGTGGTGGGACCGAAGAGCGGATCATAGCGGGCACTCTGCAGGAATTATCGGAGCAGCCTGAGGAAGCGTTCGGAGAACCTCTGCACAGCTTGGTGATTGTTGGGAAACGGCTGCATCATCTCGAAGTTGAATATGCGCAAGAGTTTGCCGTTGATCGTCATAATTGGCGGCACGTCGCAAATACTGTGTACGGATGTGCATTGGGCCAATAATCAAAATTGATAGTAGTCCGCTGGAGCTTGAACCGCACAGGTAATCGAATTATACCAAACTGTATTCGCCCTCGAGAGCAATGACCTTTTCCACTGCTTTCTTGTAGCTCGGGCTCGCCTCGAGGGCATCCGCATACGCAAACAATTTGGGTGTGTTGCTCTTGTGATATCCATTCCGATGAGCTCGGTCGCTCGAGTGGCAACCAAGATTGGGAAACTCATCATGATGTCTGCCCCAGTAAGCTTGTCTCCGCAGAGAAAGGGTCCGCCATTTGGTGCGGTAGCCAGCTGTTCCTCGAGGAACGCGACAATCATATCGTAGTTGGGGCTGACGTAGCCTTTCATGATCTTGGCTGAGATTTGCGAGGTGATTGGCTTGATGAAGAACGGAACCGGCGCTTTTTTGATGTCTTGCGAAAACCATCAGACAGGAACATCATGCCGTCAGAATACCAACCGTTGCTGACGAGCGAGACGAGGATGAACGGCATCAGAGAGCCTTCTGCGTAGTGCATGAAATATCGGTAGCGCTTGTATTCCTCCGTCTCCCCGTTCAGCTTCCCCTCGAGTCCAGGCTTCCACTTCGGGGGAATGATGGTCGACGAGGACTGGAAGTGCTCGCCGAGATATTCGACAATCACAGCGGACTCGGCGATCGTGTAATCCCCAATAGTTAGGACCGGGGCTTTCCCTAAGGGATGGATGGCCTGGAGTGCAGGGTCGGCGAACATTGTTTTCGGGTCGCGTTTGTAGGTCTTGATGTCGTAGGGCACGTTGAGTTCCTCGAGGAGCCACAGTATCCGCTGGGCACGCGACTTTTCTAGCCAATGGAGAGTGATCTGAGGGGCGTCGGTTTCAGAACTCATTCGGGTGAAAGGTGCGGGTTGTGCTTTTGAGCAGGAAAGAAAGGCCGCGAGTTAGATGCTAGGGGGGCAACAGTTGGTTCAAGCACTGATCTACTAGCACTTCCCTTTTATAGTGCACGGGCGATCGGGTCGGACCGCACAGGGATCAGTGCTGCGGTGCCCATTGCCCGCAATTCCTTGGGTGTGCCTGGGCGCCCGACTCGATTCTAGCGTCGTCCGCCCGATCATTATCATATCATCCATCAGCTTGTATAACCGCACACCGCACACCAAAACAATGCACTTGCGAAAGGATATCAAGTTCGGTCGGTATTTTGAACCGTGTCTGAGCACCTCCTCAAGATAAACTGGTCATTGACCACTCAACCAGGCCCAGGTCGAGTGGCCTTTCTCTAACCTCTAGGCGCGCAAGCCTCAGACCTCTGAATAGTTACCGTGAGATTCCCCCGCTCCTGATCTCATATAACTTCCTCCGACTCTTTCCTACTGCGTGAGCGGAGGCTGGTCTGTGCGGCAACGCTTTGCAGAACCTGCTTCACCTATATATCTTATCGATAAGCTTCATCTCGGCCGCGGCTGCTCCTCGCCCGTTTACGTACATGGTCACCACTCTACTTCTTAGCCTCGCCATGATGCACGCCTCTATTCTTAATTCCTTTACTCACACCACTGCCTTCGCCTATGGCTCTTTCGTTCCTCTTCCCCAAGGCACGAGATTAGTTTCCTCACCAGCTCCGCAACTTACAACACGCGTAGCAACCTTTACAACCACCGACAATCGAAGCGGACGGCGCGTACGTCTTTTTCGGCGGCGCCTTCAAGACATGGGCCGTTGGTACTTCAGATGACGGGGGAAGCTTTACCTCCCGACAAATATTTCAGAAGGGCAACCCTCACACTGGGTGAGCCCGATTCTGCTTACGTCTTGTGAGATTGGGAACGAGCTCTTCCTTCCAGCGCCGGACGGCAATCCACAGCTACTCGTATGTCCTGAGACCGTTCCGTCGAACGTCGACTGAAGCCGGCTGCAAGCACCTTATCATTGGCACTTGTACCAAACAGAGACGTTTGCGGTGGTTTGTGATTGCAATTGAACGCGTAGTCCACGCAGCCAACTAGTTTCTCCAGAACAGCGGAGTTCTGTGCTACATCCTGGATGGAACGGAAGGGAAGCTCAAGGCTGGAGAAACCACAGTCATCACACCCGGTCGCTGGCACACGGTGCGTTCTTTGTCGACCAGATACCAACTGTTTCTCAATTCTGAACGGACTTGCAGTTCTGGTCGGATCCTGAATCGGGCGAGGACCTCGATGTGAATATCACCGTGCGGGGAGGACCCAATCCTGGGTTCGACGAGACCTTCGTACGCAATTTCTATGGGTTCGTCTATTGACTCCTGCTGGCGTTGCCTATTCCGAATGTCCTTGCCAGATATCTCTCATCGTGCACTATGCAAGGCCTGGCACCGAATCCCATCCAAATGCTCACATTCATGTACTCAGCTGATGTCGTGCTCGAAATGCCACTCAACATAGGACGGATGGCCAACTATATTCTGGGCAACATAGTTGGATGGCTGGGAGGCTACAAGAGCGAGTATCCTGAGTTCGGGGAGAAGAGCAAGTAGCTACCATCTGCGTTCCTGTAATGGGATCATCGCAATCTTATCTTATCTGACGGTATTCATCGCGACTCAACATTACCACACATGTCCCACCTGAACTGATCCTTAACCTCCATGAAAGTTCGGAGACTCTCCTCGTCCGCATTCCGAAGAAGCACTCACTATGATACGCTGAGTGTCCCCCAAAATGCTTCTCAGCAGCAGATAAAGGTCAGTGCTGCAGACCATAAAGGTCCTTCCATAACTAAGATTGCAGACCGCATAGACCGCCTTCTTCGCAGTTGGTCCTTCCTCACCTGCGCATGCTCTGCTTGAATTGAAGCTCGCCAGCTTAGTAAAACACACCATCCGGACATCCCAGATCACAAACTGCAGCCTGAATTCCATGAGATTTCGGAGGCGTACAATGTCTTGAGGGACCCCATTTCACGGTACGTCATTCCCGACGCGGACACTCGCCTTCCTCTGGTAACAACTCTAATTATCAGGCGTGCCTACGACAATACTCTCCCGTCGCTGCCCCGTCCTGCCACTCCTTCGACACACTCGCGTTACATGGCCGATGCGGCGGTGCGGTACCGCCGGTCTGCGCGAAACTTCCATCCAGACCCCTCCTCCGCGTCCCATTCTCATCCACGCCGCGCACGTCCAACGGACGAGCCGATGTTTGCACGCCGACCGAGCCACGTTCCCCTCGCCGGGGCGCTGGACCGACACAGTCGGCATCCGGGGCAGCGATACAAGCCTCCCGATCTCCAGAAGCAAGCGGCCGCTTGGGCGTTCCAGAAGGCTGAGCTGAGGGAGCAGAAGGTCCGGGCTCCGCGGTATATTGCGACCTGGATGACTGCTATCGGTGTGTTTGCCGTTGCGAGTCTTTGGCTGAGGTGAGAATAGTGACTATAGAGGTCAGATGTATATAAATACCAAATGTCGCTTGAATTATCGTAGTGAATGGTCGTCGTGAAAGCGTCCGAGTACACGTTCACATTCGTGGATCACTCGTAAAGATACCATTCAGTTTGGTTTTCGCGGAGAACCACCTGCCGGTACATGAACTTGCATGTACGTAAGCAAATCGTCAGCTTGCTCTGATCAGCGTTCATCCTTCCATGCCTCCACGCAAAAAAACGAAGCTCTCCTCAGTCTCTTCCGGATCGGCAACAATGTCGCATGATAATCATATTCCCAGCCGCGTTCCGGAGGGATTTCCCGAATTTGAGAAGCTTTCACGCGCCTTGGTGCAATATGAACATGCAGTGATGCTGAGGTCTCGAGAGCACAGCAAGGCGCCGAATGAGCTGGTAGAGCTGGATACTTGGCTAAACGGTGATTTTCTGGGCCGTATCTCATTGCCGTCTCGTGAGCCTGTTACTAAGGCTGATATGACTTGTGCGTCGGGGACTCGATGACTTTCATCACTTCTGCTCATGCCATATTTGTTGCCCAGCCCTAATGAAATGGAAGTTGTCGCGCGGCAAATCGAGACCCACTCTCTTAGCTCTCATTGGATCGAACCCGGAGACTTTGATTCATGAATCGGCCGGCGCAGCGCTCGATCGCGTGCGGGAAGCTGGAGATGATCTGGACGTCGCGCTGCTTGCCATCGCAGAAGCATGTAAACTGAAAGGGGTCGGAGCAGCGACAGCTTCTGGTGCGCATATGTACCGTCTTCGCCATCTCGCGTTTCATGGATCTGCAGCGCTACTCACACTGCACCCTCCCCATCTTCTACCGTTCATGAGCGATGAGGCGGCTGGCTTCTTCTCCTCGACGCTCGGTCCCATCAAGTACACCGATACGTTTTACAAGAAATACGCGGCCACAATGGTCGCTTGTGTCAAGCAACTCAATGAGAGTGATGTGGGCTCGTCGATGCTCTGGGACTGCATGAAACTCGAACACGCGCTGTTCGCGATCAGTATCTTGTCGAAGCATGGAGAACATGATCTTCTTGAGGATCCTGTCGAAGCAGGTGGTCGGAAAAAGCGGAAGAGAGACTCGCAGGCTCAGTGATCACCCCACGCACTACCTCATTCGTCTGTCCCCTATCTCATCCTAACCGCTACCTCCATTCTGGGCTCGCAGCAATAAAATCTGAAATGTCTCAGTGCTCGTGTCTAACACTATCCCTCTCTCCTTCCTACTATGCCGCTCACACCAGGCGTCCGCTTCCTGGCTCTGAAATTATTCGCACCTTGCGTGTTCGTACTTGCGATCCTCACTCTCACTACTAATCCGACAATCTCGCACTCGTATCCCCTCCTTTGGGCCGCCCCTTTCGCGGCCATGGGCACTATCCTGGCTCACTTAACGTATGGGCGAGCAGGACGTTCGCGCGCGGTACGCAAGGCGGGTGCTCGCCAGATCCCGCGCGCTCCCAGTCGCTGGCTCGGCGGCCTCGATCTGCTGCGCAAGATCCTTCATTCCTATGAACAGGGCTTTCTTGGTGCGTCGTCTACCGGTGTCGGAATTCCCCCGCTGAGCGAGATCAGGCGAAGCCTTTTCTGACCTCGTTGACTCGATGGGTCCTGTCTTCAATATCCGTCTGCTCTGGCAGGACAAGATCTTCACCGTTTATCCCGAGCATCTCCAGATCATACTAGCCACGGACTTCAAGAACTACATCAAAGGTACGCCCTTTCCCATGTCTTGAGCAGTGATTGGATGCGTCACAGGCACCGACTTTTGCTTTGGAATGAACTCAGTCCTTGGGAATGGTGTCTTCAATTCTGATGGTGAGTGCCACAAACCCATATCAGGTTCGCTTTGACACTTTCCCAGGCAAGATGTGGTCCTTCCATCGGTCGATGACCCGCCCTTTCTTCTCACGTGATCGTGTCCAGGACATGGACATATTCGAGCGACACACTGAGCGTACGATCGGGTTGATAAAAACTCGCATGGCTGAAGGGCATGCCATTGACTTCCAGGTGCGACGGTCTCCAGTCGTTTGCTGCACTTCTGAGCATTCCCAAAGGATCTCATCAGCCGTTTGACGATGGATGCTGCCACGGAGTTCCTCTTTGGCTCCTGCGTTGATAGCTTATCGTGCTCGCTCGCGTATCCGCACAACGTATTCAGCCCATCGACTCAACCGACCCAATCAGCCGATGACTTTACAGCCGCGTACAACCAAGCTATGCTCCAAATCGCTTTCCGGCAGAGGGTCGGTTGGGTCTGGCCGCTGTTTGAGATTTTGGGCGACAAAACCGTGAAGCCGATGAAAGTCGTCGACAGATTCATCGACCCTCTTATCGAGGCTGCCTTGGCGAAGAAAGCCCGAGGAGGGCATCTCTCTGCATCACTTTTAGACGAGCTTATCAGGTCCACAACCGGTGAGGGTTGCTCTCCTTGCTTGTGTCTGCCCTGGCTGACTGCCTCCTGGCTAGATCCAAAGCTGCTCAAGGATGAAATACTCAATGTTTTGATCGGTATGTCCAGTTCCCAATGTATCTTCTTTGCTAATCGAACCGGCAGCCGGTCGAGATACGACCATGAGCGTCTTGAGCAACGTCATATATCTGTGCGTGTCCTTTGCCGTAGAAACAACGGTGATTCCTAACTCCATCTACAGTCTCAGCACATCTTCTGATGTGATCGCCCGCCTTCGGGAGGAGATCGCGACGTTCGTGGGGCCTTCTGGCCGTCCCTCATTCGACAATATCAGACAAATGAAATATCTGCGCGCTGTGATCAACGGTACTTGATTTTGTGTCATTCTGAAGCCGATTTTCATTCATCTGTCACAGAGACGATGCGGCTGTTCCCGCCAGTGTGAGTATCATCTAGCCGATAACGAACGAAGCTGATTTATCTATACAGTCCCTTCAATATCCGACAGGCTGTGAACGACAGTGTCTGGCCTTCGCCAGATCCAACACAGAAACCGTTACATATCGCGGCTGGGACCAAGATCGTGTATTCTGTCATGGTCATGCAGCGGCGGCCAGAGCTTTGGGGGCCGACCGCACATCTCTTCGATCCAGACAGATTTCTGGATGAGCGGGCGAAGCAGTACATCTCCCATCCGTTCCGGTTTTTGCCGTACGCTCTCATCTGATATTGTGAGCATACATTGACTGACATCCCGCGCAGATTCAACGCTGGTCCCAGGATCTGTCTCGGGCAGCAGTTTGCGTATAACGAGATGTCTTTTGTGTTGATCCGCCTGCTCCAAACTTTCAGCTCGATAGCCCTCGATGCCGATGCGTTCCCACCTTCTGCTCGAGTGCCCAGCGATTGGTCGGGCCAGCCGGGTCGCAAGGGCATCGAGCAAATCGTTCCCAGAGCGCACCTGACGATGTATACCTCAGTGAGTGTACATTTACGCGCCTTTGCGTCATTGCCTCATCGTTCGCAGGGTGGATTATGGGTACGGATGAGCCAGGAGCCCTGTACAAGTTCATAGTAATAACATCTACTGAAACATGTATCATGCAAATCCCATGCCTGTCGTTGCTGGCCCATCTCTGACCTGACCGAAATCAGAATCAGCATAAGCCAGGCAGCCCATCACCCGTCGGACACTTACCATCTGGTATTTCACGCCGAGGAACTGCATGAGTCTGTTCAGATTCCACTCGCGCGAGTCGGAGACCAGGGGAATCTCGTATTCCGTCATGAGATCCTTGGATGTGGGGCCTGTACGCCATGTGTTCTAATGTATCCACGCGGGTAGTGAGTGGGCCGGCTCACCGTCCAAGTCGAAGAGCGCCTTCAACGTCCCCGGGAACGATTGCGGCACCGTGCAGTCCTGCTTGAGGATTGTGTTGAGGCTGTCATCCTCGTGGCTCGTGCGCAGAGCAGCGTTGGCGCGCCGGCTCTCTCTGTTGTCAATGTGTTGTATCAGCACCGGGAGCTACAACCCTGAGCAGGTGACCGACGAGTTATGCAAGTCCCGATGCAGCTCTTCTAGCTCTTTCTGCTGTTCGGCGACTTGGTCCTGCAGTTCCTGGGGGATGTGCGTTGCCAAACAAGCTGCGACTTGCTCGTCTACGAGCTGGTCGACGATCGAGGCTATGGCTTCATCGGCTAAGGGCGTGTTCGGTCAGTACTTGTGCCATGCCATGTCGAGCGCCGGTCCCAAGAAGCACCTTGTTTGTTCATAGTCTCGAGCACTTCCACGGAGAGCGTCTCGTCGATGTATCCTGCAGTAGAAGCGGCGTGAGCCCTGCCGGATGCCCAATGTATTATGGCTAAAGCATTACGTTGGATTTCCTCCAAGCCCCGTTTCTGTGTCTCGCCGGTGCTGATCAGCTCGCGGCGTAGCCTGCCGGCAGCGCGCGGATATCTTGAGCTCGGATTGCCTCAGTCCGGGCACCATAGAAGCGGCTTACTCCTCGATCTCCCGCGCCATCTGGGGATCCCCGCCCAGGAGGTCCATCTGAATCGTCTGTGCATGCAGCTCGCCTAGCGCCTCCTAGTGTGCGATAGCATGGGTTGACGGTCAGTCGTTTGAGGGTAATGTATGTAAACATGCACGCGTACGCGCAACTTACGTCTAGGATCGGCAGCTGCGACTTGATGTGCAAGATCACGTTCTTGGCTGATGTCCCGGCGGTGGGAGTGGGGGTTGAGAGACTCGACATCGAGCTCGCTTCCGAAGTAACACTGTCCGAGTTGGTGCCCCGCAGTACGGTGGTCGCAGTGATCGCAGAGTCCATGGGAGGGCAAGTTGGAGTTGGAGGGAAGGGAGCGCTGCGGCACTTCTTCAGCGTGGGTCCCACGAGGTTCTATGATTGAGCGGCTGTTGGTTAATATTATCTATCTGTAAATATAACAGTATGCAAATGATTGTGGCTACAATGTACCGACATGTCAGTGGGTGACCAGATCCTATATATCATATCGTACACCGACATATCAAGCGTGGTGGGCCGCAGTTGACGCCGGTTCCTCTGCGAGCTCTTCGGACTGTTCCGATCCATCGTCGGACGATGAGTCGGACTGTTCCGTCCCATCGGATGCAGCATTCAGTTGTGCAGCCATCAGATTGCGGAATCGCGAGTCAGGACGGGATACCTGCCGACATCAGCTCGGGGAGCAATGTAGCTAGGATTCCACCTACCAGTTGACGATACGTCCCTGTTTCAACAATCCGACCATCTAAACAGAATCAGCAAGACGAAACCAGAGAAAGCGGGACACATCTCACCTTCCAATACGACGATCCGTTCGGCTCTCGCAATGGTGGACAAGCGATGGGCCACGAACAGACAGGTCGTTGACCGATTCCTCAAGATCTTATCGATAGCATCATTGACCTGGGGCAAATCAGCATGCCATCATCCCACACGACAAGCTACTCACCCTGTGTTCGGACGTAGCATCCAGACTGCTTGTCGCTTCATCGAGAGCCAACAAAGCAGGCTTCTTGAGCAAAGCACGAGCAATAGCAAGCCGCTGCCGCTGCCCGCCACTCAGACTCAGGCGACCCACTACTTGCATGTCAGCCATCTACAAAACGAGGCTAAAAGGGCACAGACCGGGTGTGTCGAATCCTTGCGGCATGCCCCAGACGAAATCGCAATTGGCTTCGCGGGCAGCTTCTTCGATCTGTTCCCGAGTGACATTCGCGTTGCCGTACGCGATATTCGTCGCGATCGTGCCCGTGAAGAGGACAGGATCTTGGGGGACCACCCCAATCACGTTCCTCCACGAAGCTACGGAGAACTCCCGGATGTCTGTCAAGAGTCTTATCAGTCACAGGTCTACGCAGATCACTCTTTGGGTAGGCTGACCTTGACCGTCATACGTAATCTTGCCCTCGGCGGGATCATAGTATCGAAGCAGGAGTGAGTGGATCGAGGATTTGCCGCCGCCGCTCTTGCCTCTGTAATCGGTCAGACACAGTCACACAAGCCAGAAAAAAATACATACACGATAGCCACACTTTCGCCTGTGCCGACTTCCAGGTCGAAGTTCTTCAAGATGTCGATCCCTGGCCGACTTGGATACTCAAACTTGATTTTCTCAAATCTGAGAACGCCCCGGCGATTTGGGGAGATCTCGAGCCCCTTGTTCGGAGGGATGGCTGGGGACCGGTCAAGCAGCTCAAAGACACGCGTCCCTGCACCTATCCCACGCATGATCGAAGACTGCAAAACAGGTCAGCTGTAGATCGGCTGACGCACAGCACACTTGCGAAAAAGGACGTAAGCATGGATAGCCCTATCAGGATTCAGCGCCGCAACAAAAAAGGGCTAGAACACTCACCATTGCCCACGTAGAGCGTGTACAAAAGCAAACTCGTGAGGTCGCCGACCGAGATTTGACCTTGTGAGACTAGTGTTCCACCATACCCAAGCAAAGCCAGGATCGTCACATTGCCGCTCCACCCAGTGCTCCCAGAAAATGGCCGTCGCATTCGCCTCCTTTTGAGCGAGATCCAACACCGAGTTGATGCGTTGATGGAACTTTGCGCGCTCTTGTTCGTGAGCATTATATGCTTGAACCGTTCGCAGAGCCGACAGCGATTCCGTAGCGACTTTGGTCATCTCACCGACAGCCTCTTGCGTCTGATTCGACAGCTTCTTGAGGTAGCGACCGTAGAAGACAGCGCCCAGTGACACAGGTGGAACGACCACAAGCATGAGCATCGCTGTTCAGGTTGATGAAAGCTTCTGATAAGTGTGAACGAAGTCTCACTGAGTTTCGGAGAAAGATAGAGCATGGCGCCCACTAGTTGGAGTGAGACTACGCGTTAGAAGATAGGGAAACTACGCACATCCGACTGTGGACATCACAACAGCGCGTAACCCGTCGGATAAGTTCTGGGTGACGCTGGACCATGTTCAGAGCACATAAAACGAGGTGATTACACCACGTACCTCTCTCCGACGATACTCGTATCCACACTCAGTCGGCTCAGAACATCTCCCTCACCCTTCTCAACGAATTCCACCTCTTGTTCGAGAGCAGCTGCATACGTCCGTTCTCGTAGCCGTGCGACAATCCGTTGGCCTGCGAGTCTGTGTGAGTCCCTAGACTGCTCCGGATATGCGATGGCATACCCGACATGCGCATAAGCAATGCTCGGCCTGCATTGGCAGCAGCTCCGACAGTGAACATGGTCAGCAGTAGCGCAGACGCCTGCCACATGGATATCCCGAGAGGGAATTGCTAGAGGCACAATCATCGGTGTGTTGAGAGAGGAGCATGGATAACGCACTGGATTTGCCGATGAGAAAAAGTCAATGAGCTTGCCAATCGTGAACGGCACACTGAGAGCCACGGAGGAGGACACCAGCAGCAGCCCAACAGCAATCGTGAGCGGCTTCTTCTCCTCCCGGGCCAACGATGCTATCTTTCCAAGCGACGACGCATTATCCGACGCCTTCATGCTCTCCGGCAAGAAGCGGGATATTATTGACGGTCTAGGGGGAGGCCGTGGCTTCTCGAGGGCATCTTTCTGGGTCGAATACGCTCGCCAGCGCGGCAGATTGGACGCGAGTACAGGGATGTGCTGGAATGGCCGCGTGCGATGCGATGGGCGCCAGAGGGAGTGAGGGCGGGCATTCCGAAAGCCCGTTTCTAGGAGACGCCCTGCCGGACTTCTCAAGGAGGCTTGTATGCCCAGCATAGAGTCCAAGGAGACTGCGAGGAGCCGGACGAGAGCTTCTGCAAAGTATTCCACCTGGCTTCTGGCAGACTGGAAGATGACTGAATCAGATTAGTCAGCGGACGAGCATTCGCGAACACGTGCGGGTGTCGGATCCTGAGTGTCCGTCTGTCCGACCTGTGTTGTTCATATCTTCGACTCTCTGCCGCGATGTTCTCGCCGTTGTGCGCGGATTCTCGGCTAGGACCATATGGATACCGACATACTCCCTGATCTCTCGCACCTCCGAGTCATAATTGTATGCCCCACAAATGGCAATCATCATTTCGCTCGGAAATGCTACACGGCAAGGTACCAGTAGCGCAGTTCCGAACATTCCGGATGAGGCGCTTAGTCGTCTGTGCCGGAGTTGTGACGGAGATAGGCTAGAGAGATGTCGAAAATTGAAGGCTCGACGGGCTCTTGAGTTGAAGACTGCGAGAAACGTGCTCCTGTGTGAACTTTGCCCGCTCAGTGTCGCATTCAGGCAGAGAGCGAATTGAACTTGGATTCGAGAAATTATTTGGAACCATGGTTCACCTGCTGGGATCTTCGTGGATCTGACTGCCCGACATGTAATTTATCTACGCGTTCTGTGTGAGGCCTGAAATAATTAGATCCAAGGCGTTACGATCGCCTTGATAAAATAAAAGACTTTCAAAGTATTTGTTAAAACCGGGTGAATGTGTCTAAGTAGCCATTTACTTGTTGTGTTCGCTAGAAAACAGAGGCGTCCAGATTTCATTCTACCCACTTGCCTTTACCGTATTTGATCTTTGTAGCGATTGCATTAGAATAGTTTGGAAAAAGTTGTCCGAGCATTCCCCGCTCATCGCATGCGGAACGATTCCAGTGACTTAGATTGGGTCATAACGTCCTAGTCCTTGTCAAGAGTCTCTAAGCGAACATGTGACCGCGTCAGCATTGCGGATTTGTCTCCAACTCCCAACAGCCATGAGCTTTGCACCTACTACCTCCCAGACGATCGCCTATCTTCGGACTCTTCCATCCATTCGTGAACGATGCAACCGTGTCTTCGATCTTGCTAAAGACGATAAACTGCAGTATTTCACATATCATCCTGAGAAGGAGTCCGATGTAACTGCCTACTGTGTCGATATCATACGAGTTCGCATTGCTTTATCTGCTCAGGACAAGACGCTCATCCTCTGCAGCGTGACTTTGGGACCCAATACGAAACGGTGAGCAGGATATGTTGTGTCCGCCGAGGTCCATATCTCCCCTCTAAATGACTCAAGATCCCTCCCCATGGTCGTTGGCGTCATCTAGATGCGGGACGCTCCCGAATCAACCCATTGGTGCTGAAGTGGCGTGCTGCTAACGACCCGCCGAACGACATCGAAATCGCCAAGCGCTTGATCGATCTCTTCCTCGTCGCTGTCCTTCTCGACGCCGGAGCCGGCAATGTATGGACATACACGGAAAGCGAATCGGGAATGAAATTCAGCCGCTCGGAGGGACTCGCAGTTGCCGCATATCACATGTTCGAGGCGGGTCTCTTCTCTGGGGACGCATCGCAGCCGTATCGTGTGGACGGTGAGGACATGCATTGCCTCTCCGCTATGATCGTTCTCTAATCAGACACTTGTAAGCGGTGGGGCTTGCTCGTTTGACTCCCGGGGATGTCGCCCGAGGAATGCAGGTCGATGACGAGAACACTTTGGCCGGGCTCGAAGGACGTACCCAGCTGCTTATCAACCTTGGCACCGCTCTCAGAGCCAGTCCGGAATTCTTTGGCACTGATGCCCGCCCGGGAAATCTAGTCGGTACGTCATCAAGCTCTGCTACTTCGCTTAGCTGTCTGACACGTGCAGACTTCCTGGAGAAAGAATCGATCCCTTCATCTCCGTCCCGCAAGGTTCCTGTCGCCGCGTTATGGCACGCCCTCATAATTGGGCTGCAGCCTATCTGGCCTCCGGCGCGAACTAACTTGGGCGGCGAATCATTGGGCGACGTTTGGCCGTGCGCTGCCCTTGCGAGCGATGCGGATACCAACGTTTCTTCGACTTTTGTGCCATTCCACAAGCTAACTGGGTGGCTAACTTACTCACTAATGGAACCTCTGACCAGTTTTCTCGGCTGGCAATTCGAAGGTGTCGAGGACATGACTGGCCTTCCCGAGTACCGCAATGGCGGGCTTCTGCTGGACCTCGGGGTTCTCTCACTCAAATCAAATCCTCCGATCCCACTGCCTCGAGATGAGAAGTCAGGACGGCCCAAATTGGACGCGGGCCATCCCGCGATCGTTGAATGGCGAGCAATGACTGTGATCTTGCTGTAATTCAAGTCTCCTATGGCCCTGTATCCCTTCTGACTTGTGTTCCAGTGACAGAATCCACGCCGCTCTCCGTCTCTCGCTTCCTGCTCCAGATTTGACATTGGCTCAGGCATTGGAGTCTGCAACCTGGAAAGGCGGACGAGAGATTGCCAAAACACTGCGTGGCCCCGAAGGAGGACCACCCATTGATTTGATCAGTGACGGAACTGTGTTCTAATCGTAGAAATATTAGCATTGTCATGGAAAAAGCAAGTTCCAAAGAGGCTCGCGCGAGACATGTAGTACAGCATCTAATCACACAGCCATTAACCAATGCATCGGAATCCATCACGGCTCGAGATCCGCAGCACAGCATGACGGCGCTGCTGCAACTTCGACTCAAATTTCAATCTTCGACAGCATGATCCGCACCTCTCCCCACTCTTTGCCACTACCATCTTCGCCTCATCACTGGCAAGCGGAATGTTTAACCAGTCACCACCCTCGCGATCCAGAGGAAGTCGACTCTCCAACGCCGACCGGGAACGCATTCCAGAGTGTGAGAAGATACAACGAGATGAGAAACGTCGGAATGCTAGCTGGTCCCAACTCCCGCCCCACCGAGTGCGTTCCTCAGTCGAATATTCCATTACTCCACAACCTCATTGGCACGCAGACTAGTAAGGTACCGCGGGCTCTGAGCTATGCCTTGCCACCAAACCGTATGGCTTCCAAGCTTGGCTCTCCACCTACTCCCCTCACACATGGATGTCCTTTTCGCCCTCAAATAGGACAACACCGGTGGTCGTCACCAGACTCTCGGCTGCAACGCGTGGAGACCGAACCTATCTCCATCGTCCGCATCCCCTCCCGAGACGTGCTTACGTGCAAGAACGGGCCTTTGTTTTGCGAGGATGCAGCCCCCATTATACGCATGCGCTCCAAGCGCAAGAACGTGCTACTCAACTCTCTACTCTATCCAACCGATGACTTGGACTGGAGTGTACCTTTTGATAGGCATCGACGCCAAGTGGAGCAGCCTTGTATGATGGTACAATTTCCATCGCCGTCACCATCATCCTTGTCATCTGGACGCTCGTGGCTGTCATCGTTTGGTGGATCGTCCTTCTCGTCGCGCTCCTCCTGGGCCTCGAGTTTCGTGCGCGCGGAGCATGTGTCTACCAAGGTCGTCAAGCCTCGTAGGGGTGATTTACCACGGATGCTCGTCACAGCTCATCCACTCCGAGAAGAGCTGCCGTCGAGACGGATATCGCGTCCTCGACCTGCTAGTCAAGCTTCGTTGAGTAGCACGTTGGGTCGTTTCTTTCTCACGCTTGGACCACCAGTCAAGAAGATGCCACACCGTGCACTTGTCACCAGCGCCAGTGTCCAGCTGTTCCTGGGATTGTCTCCCGACGCCGGGGAGCGCGAACTCAGGTCGCAGGTCACGGTCGATGATTACGCACCACTGGCGATGCTCGTGCCCCTACGTTCTCAATCGCGAACGTCTGGCTCCCAGCTAAACTACGACGACCCCATTCATCGGGCTTATCGACGCGCAGTAGCTAATACAGCTTTCCTACGCGTCATAGCCGTGCATCGTTGGGCGTACTCCAAAGCTGGCCATCCACGGAGAACCCTTGTGCAACCGCAGTGGCCTCCTGAAATCAAGGCCAGCGTCGGCTGCTTCGATCCTGGGTCCAGTGGTTTACGATTTGTTTATGCCAATGTCGACGATCAGTTTCCCTTCTGACTATGTCAACGGGACACCTTGGGAGCGCATTTGCGTTGTATTTGTCTTTATCTCTGAGGACAGTGTTTCTTCTGTAGCTTGTAATATCACACCGATCACACACCCGGCGCGCGCCCAGTGAGTCTAGTGCCATAAATGGCAACAGCACGTGCCTCTGTAAATAACTAATAGCAATAACATTAATCAATTACCAGGGATTTTCTTCAAGGGTGACGATAAACATTCATCTTTCAAGTGCCTGCATCTGGAAATAGCAAGACACTGCATTTTTACAAGATTCAAGGCTGGCGCCTATATCTTCATCGTGTATATCTGGACACAATACGTGTTGTCCAAGTACGAAATTATGTAATACCTGAGGCTGATTCTGCTAATGGATTGATGCGAATTCAGACGCGGGCTGTGCTGAGAGGATCTCACAGCCATACTGACAGATCGACTTCGCATTCACCCAGCTCCATCCTCATCTCTCTCTGCTTCCAACGACCATGTCGCGTTACCCTGACGTACGTTCCTGTGCCTCGTTTGCTCCTTCTCTGAGCGCTGAGCATAAATTGACACCCCTAGGCTGACGAGGCTCAACACCATGGCTACAACGATGGCTACAATCCTTACACGTCCCAGTACGACCCGCAGCACTTCGGCGCTCACGACCCATTTGCCACTCCGCAGCCGCAAGTGCAGGATCCATATGCCACCCACTTTGCCTCTTCGCCACCTCCTGTACCGCCCTTCCCCCCGAGTCCTCCACCTCCACCCGGTCAAGGCTTTGACCCCTACGGACACCCCAGCCAATATGGCGCGGGCAGCCCGCCGCCGCATCCGATGTACCCGCCGATAGATCCGTACCAGCAAGCGATTCACAGTCCGCCGCCGCTGCCGCAGGGAACACATGACTACCTCGCTACGCCTTTCCAGGCGCCGCAGCCGACGAGTACCCCATTCAACGAGGAATACAACAGGCCTGCCTACCCGGTGGATGATATCCACGAGCAAGGCGAAGAAGAGCACGGGGACATTCCTCTTTTGCGCCGTGACCCCTCGTCGGACTCGGGGTTCAATATGCCCATCCCAGGGGATTACCAGGGCGACGACGCGGCCTCGGCGCACAATATTCGTTACGGACATATTCCGCAACGAGTGCCCCGTCGATACAAGACCATCAAGCGTGTCGAGTAAGTGCGGTGTCTGGTGCATTTGTGGAGTCTGAACAAGCGCGCAGGCTGTTCCATGGCAATTTCGTGCTGGACTCTCCTGTACCCAAGAAGCTATTGGACATGTGTGCCAACCGCACCGAGCGCGAGTTCTCGTACATGCGGTACAGCGCAGCGACATCTGATCCCAACGACTTCAAAGATGATGGATTCACGCTGCGGCAGGTGCATTACGACCCACCACGGAGGACAGAGTTGTTCATCGTGATGACCATGTACAACGAAGATGAAGAGGTGCGTTCGACCTGGATCCTTTCGCTGCGGTTGATTGAACTGTTGCAGCTCTTTTGCCGCACGATGCACGGCGTCATCAAGAACGTTGCACACCTTTGCAAACGCGACCGTTCAAAGACATGGGGAAAGGACGGTTGGAAGAAGGTCGTTGTGTGCATTGTCTCCGACGGTCGTGGCAAGATCAACAGTCGCACACTCAGTGTCATCGCAACCATGGGATGCTACCAGGAGGGTATCGCGAAGAACATGGTCAGCGGCAAACCGGTGACCGCACACATCTACGAGTACACTACCCAGATCAGTGTCACGCCGAACCTCCAAATCCACGGTCCTGAGAAAGGCACCGTGCCGGTGCAGATCATCTTCTGCCTGAAGGAAAAGAATCAGAAGAAGATCAACTCGCACCGATGGTTCTTCAATGCGTTTGGGCCTCTTCTGCAGCCCAACGTCTGTGTGCTGCTCGATGTGGGAACCCAGCCGGGGCCGACGTCCATCTACCATCTGTGGAAAGCGTTCGACATCAACTCGAATGTTGGCGGCGCCTGCGGTGAAATCGTTGCGCTCAAAGGCGAGTGCCTTCGTTTTCTTTCCTCGGGCTGTTGTGCTCATATTTTCTAGGCAAATACGGTGCCAATTTGATCAACCCTCTCGTCGCGGCGCAGAATTTTGAGTACAAAATGAGTAACATCTTGGACAAGCCGTTAGAGTCGGTCTTTGGGTGCGTGACTCCCTTTCGCTATCTTCTCAGATGAACTGATAGGCTGGTATCAGATATATCACGGTGCTTCCCGGTGCATTCAGTGCGTACCGGTACATTGCGCTGCAGAACGATGCAAGAGGTGAAGGACCACTGCAGAAGTACTTCTTGGGTGAGAAGATGGTCAGTGCACGCATCTAGGAGGGATTGGCTTGGTTGTTGACTCGTCGGACAGCATGGTGCGGGTGCAGATATCTTCACCGCCAACATGTATCTGGCGGAGGATCGTATCCTCTGCTGGGAACTGGTGTCGAAACGGGGCGGATCGTGGATCCTCCACTACGTCAAATCAGCCTACGCCGTGACCGATGTGCCCGATCAAGTGCCAGAGCTGATCTCCCAGCGTCGGCGTTGGCTGAACGGCTCGTTCTTCGCGGCCGTGCACAGTACCGTGCACTTCCACTACATCTACCGGTCGTCGCACACGTTGATCCGCAAGTTCTGGTTCCACGTGGAGATCCTGTACCAGTTCTTCAACCTGATTTTCGCGTGGTTCGCGCTGGCGAACTACTACATCGCGTTCACGATCTTGACGAAGGCTGTGGAGGACCCGACGTTCAAGCTGAATGGCATCCACGTCGTGAATGTCATCCTCGAGTACTTTTATCTCGGGCTGCTGATCATGTGCTTCATCCTTTCGCTTGGAAATCGACCGCAGGGATCCAAGTGGGGATACACGCTGGCGTTTATTGGCTTTGGTATCATCACTATCTACATGACCGTATGTGCATCCTGCTTCGAGGTTTCGTGTGCTGACTGTTCGGCAGTCTGCTGCTGTGTTGTTGGTCTACAAGGGTATATCTCAGTTGATCAGTGAGAAGGGCGGGGCTTTATCCCTGGGCGACTTTTTCTCCAACCCGATCTTCCGGAACATCGTCGTCTCGCTATTGGCCACATACGGCCTGTACGTCATTGCTTCAGTCATCTTTGTGAGTCGACTTTATGATCTTGCGGGGCACATTTATGACGATGGGTCCTCAGTTCGAGCCGTGGCACATGATCACGTCGTTCATCCAATACCTCCTGATGGCGCCTTCGTACATCGCCGTGCTGAACGTGTACGCGTTTGCGAACGTGCACGACGTGTCGTGGGGCACGAAAGGCGACAACAAAGTGAGCACGGATCTCGGATCGGTGTCGGCCGGCAAGGGCGACAAGAAGAACGAGGTCGAGGCGGTCGTCCCCACGAACGAGAACGACATCAACGCTGCATACGAGGACGCGATCCATGTTCTCAACACCAAGGCGCCCAAGGCGGAATCGAAACCGGATGCGGCGACGCAGCAGGAGGATTATTACCGCTCTTTCCGAACAAAGTCGGTGTCAACATTTTGTCGTGTTTGGCTAGCTTGCTGATCTGTTTCTAGTGTTTGTGTGCAATTCCATGCTCGCGTTGTCGTGTTGACGCTTTTCTTTTCTTTTTTAGGTCCTATTAGCATGGACATTGAGCAATGTGAGTTGCGTTTCAGCGCGTTCGGGTGTCTTGCTGATATATTGCAGGGATTACTTGCTGCAGCCGTCGCGTAAGTTAAACAGGATGAATGGGTCGTTTTGCATCTGATTGCTGACCTTACCAAAGAACTGCGAGTGGCAAAACCGACACAACGTCTGCGCACGAGGTCAACGGCTACATGGCCTTCTTGCTGTTCTCGGTTGCGGGACTTGCATGTGCGTTGTTCTCTGACTGAACTCTCACTTTGGATTGCACGCTCAATTGCCTCCAGTTGTCCGCTTCGTCGGTTCGACATTGTATATGGTCATCAGGTTGTTCGCCGGGGAGTAGAGAGATGTCGTGTTGTATCACACTGCCAGTATTTAAACAATCTGTCTACTGATCCAGTCAGGACAGTCGCTCGCTACCACACACACACATATTTTCATATCTTGTTTCACGCACGCTATACCGTAGATACCATCAAAACTTGCCGCGCAGTCTCCCCAGGACGAGATGGCGCGCGACCAACATGAGCACGATCGCCAAGATGATGGTGCTGCCGGCGTAGTACCCGACGGCTTGGTAGCCCCCCGTCGCCGTATTAATTGCCCCGGAAATAGGCGGCCCGACCTGTCACGAAAGAAAGTCAGAGCCGGTGCGATGTCTCTCCGGGGAGCTCAGAACCCACCAAGGCGCCGACTGCCGTGAGCGTGACGGTCATGCCCGATCTGCGGCCCACGTCCGCGATGTCGCCCATGTGGTACAGCGGGAGGATGAACGACGACACATACGCGCCAGACGCGAATCTATGTTTTCGCATATGTAGTCAGCCCAGGATGCGAGTTGTAAGGATACTGAGAGGGTTACCCGTAGACCAGGGCGACGCCGACAAAGCCAGCTTTGGACCTGGCCAAGGGCCAGACATAGGTCATCAGCGCCGCGAGCGCGGTCATCGGGCTGATGACGTTCACGGCGCCGAGCCGGTCGGTCATGATCGCCGCGACGAGGCGCCCGACGAGCGACGCGCCGTTGACAATCGAGAGCAGGTAGAACGCAAAGTCGGGCGAGACGCCGGCGGACGTCGCGCTCACGCCGATATAGGTCGACACTAGCACGCACGTGAACGGCCATCCCGAAAAAAGAAAAACTGCGCCATGGCTACTGACCGGTGTAGACCCCGAGGAACGCGACGATGCCCGAGAGACAGTAGACGGTGTACGCCGCGCTCTTGAATGCGGCGAGATTCAGCAGGCCGCCCGAGACGTGTTTCGGCGGAAGCCGCCGTCGCAGCGTCAGATTCGCGATCCCCAGCGTGCACACCAGGATGCACCCGATCACACGCAGGGCCCACTGGAATCTAGCGCCGAGATGAGCCGGGGACGGGATGGGTAGTGGAGGCGACGCACCCGATTCGCGGGATCAGATTGCGCGAGATAATCTGCCGGCGGATGAGTCTGCTGCCCATCCGCGTCGCTGATCGCACAGAACGCACCGGGAACAGTGTTCCGCCGAGCGACGACCCCGCAGCCAAGAACCCCGTCGCGAGCCCGCGCCTGCGCTTGAACCAGTGGCCTATGATCGCAGTGAGTGGGCCCCAGATGATCCCCGCGCTGATCTGCACCCTCCGCGGTCAGGTGATGCTCGATCGAGCGCGTCGCGATGGATCGATGCTCACCCCCACCGCAAATCCTTGGCAGAGGAGGAATTGCCAGTATTGCGTGCATTCGCCCACGAGGAACGTCGCGATGACGAGGAAGACGCTCGCGCAGAGGAAGGGCGCCCGGAAGTACCCCCGGTCAAAGACGTGCCCGACGAGCAGACAGGGAACGAACACCAAGGAGTACTGAGATCCTGGTCTCAGAACGAGCACCGCGGCGGGCGATGTTCTTACCTGTATCGATCCTATCCAGGCTCTGGAACGCACATGAGTCCCGCATGATGTATAGACGAACGCGCACACGCACATGTTCGACGGAGACGAATCCCTCAGCAACGTTGCCTGGTAGTATTCTTGGAACACCTGCCGCGCTCAGTGACGGCACATCCCCAGTACCAACAACACACAGACGCACCCCCCACGCGTTGACATAGCCGAACCTGCGCACAGCACGGGGCGTCAGCACGGGGGAACACCCATCACACGTCGAGAACAGCGCACGTCGAGAAAGTCGTGCACGCGCCCTGCATGCGGCGCATCAGCAGCGCACTCCCACGACGATCCCGAGACAGATCGGACGCACCCCGAGCACGATCCACCACGCCCGCGCTCCGCCGTCGGGGTAGTCGTGCAGATACGGATCATCAGAGCCCCCCAGCGGCGCCGCCTTTTCGGTGGGGCCCGCAAGGGACGGGACCCGCGTCGCCGTCGGGTCCGCGTCGAGCGACGATTCAGCTCTGGTCACGGCGGCGGGTGCTGCAGCGGCCATCCTCGCTACGGGATGGAGGGGGAGGAAGAGGAGGAGGAGGAGGAGGAGGGAGAGTCGAGGGATTCGTCAGCAGCAGCAGCCTGTTTGGCTTCCGCGTCATGCGAACGGAGAGGGTTCGTGTGTGTGTGATGGACGGCATGCAGCAGGTTTTAATTACGACCAGGATGGACTCGTGACTGCCGATGCAGCCAGACAGTGCCAGAAACCGCCACCCACGGAAAGAACAGCAGAGAGATGCCTTGTATGTACAACATGCCGGTCGCTCAGCGGCCCGGGACTTCCGCCTCTCAGGGATCGATCGTCAGACAAATAGTCTCCTCCATGGCAGGTCGCCTGAACGCTAGAGCAGTCTTGTATCTGGCGGCACAAAGTACATTCCCGAGAGATAGGGCCGGGCGGGAAGGAGCAGTCGCATGCGAGTTGGCTTCGTTTCGTATTTCGCCGACAGCTGATACAGTATCGTAAACGTACGCGACGCTTGCAGGGGAGGTCAAATTAAGAACTTTGTCCGGCACGGTCACGTGCACGACTCCCACATTAAAAAACACGATAATTATTGTTTCGAGCCCAGAGAGGTATAGTAGATACCGTCGAATACCCTGATACATTAGTTGTCCCATTGTTCCCATCTGCGTACTATATCTCCATTCAAGGCGGTGCTACCGCCGAGCGGTGTTCAATCCAGGATATAACATCCTCCAACAGTCTCTCCCGGATCAGAGGCTCGTGGACCAGCTCGTGGAATCCATTCTACCAGGGGCAGTCAGTCCTGGTGCCACTCTGTTCGCAGGACGATGCCCACCTCGTAGCCGATGAATGTCTTGTCGTCAGCATCGATCTTGTCGACGAATGCTTTCGCGGCATCGTGAGATGTGATCTGCATGCAGCAGGATTAGTCGGACGAAGGGAGTCAAGTTGAGTTGTTTTGGGGACGTACCGGATCCGTTACTCCGATGCACACAAGAAGCTAGACAGGGGATGAGGCGCAGTACAAATCAAATACCGAGAGTTGGAAGACAGGAAACGCACTGGCATAGTTTTTGGCCAGTGTTTATAATTTTCCGTCCACAACTCATCCGCCTGGTACTGTAAGAAGATGTTGTTGGCATGTTGGATCGGTCCGCTCACCCAATCCAGGAGATCTTTGAGCCCACGCAGCGTGCCAAACTTGCGCGCTAGCGTATCCTTGCTTGCCATCTTGTTGTACTCCGGATCGTGCGTAAGGTCCTTCAGGATCGATAAGCCACAAGACGATGCCAAGAAGCTTAGGAGGGGGTGCGAGACACACACGCACATTAAAGTCCAAACCCGCATCCATACGCGCATTCGGCGCAAGTTTACTCGCAAGCCCACCGACGGCCCGCAGGAGGCCCGACGCAGGCTTCGTCTGCTGCACGAGCGGGCTGCTCCCGACGATCCCTCTTAGCACCCTCGCCTGCTCGGGCATCCGGTACGCGAAGTTGAGCACCTCCCCGCCGCCCATCGAGTGGCCCATCAGGAAGACCGGCAGGCCGGGGAACCGCGTCCCCGCGACGCTCACGGCCCACGCGACGTCGTGCATCTGCGCCTCCCCGCTCGTCTTCCCGTACGCGCTCGCCGCGCTGCGGTGCGTCTCGTCGAGCGCGGTGCGGCCCCACCCCCGCTGATCGAAGGTGAACACGGCGATCCCGCGCGCGGCGTAGACCGGGTGCGCCTGCGTGTACCGCCCGACGTGCTCCAGCAGCCCGTGGATGAAGACGAGCACGGCTTTGGACTCGGTGCCTGCGGGGGCGGTGTAGGTCCGGGTGTAGAAGTTCGTGTTTTCGGGGCCGACCATCCATTCCTCCTGGTACTGGTCAGAAACCATGTCGGAAAGTGCGTGCAACGGCATGGTGAGTGTCGACAGTTAGATTGAGACTCGGAAAGGATGAGAAACGACTCTGAATATGGAGCGCTATATGTACACAACAGTAAATACGCTCAGGCGGTGATGCGAATTGCATGCATGTGATTGCCAAACGATGCTACTGAAAGATTACAGACTGTTCAAAAAGGGTTCGGGCTCTGTGCGGTGAAAGAGAGAACGTCCGCTGCTGTAACACTGACGACCGGGAACTCGCTGATCCGCAACTTCGCAGCCTGGAATGAGTGCATCAGTGACAGTGACACGGCTTAGACACCAAGCCAAGCAGTGCTCACTCCAAACGGCCAGAGTGTGATTTTGCGGAATGGACCGATGCAAACAGGATCTTCAGGCGGCGGTGCAGCAAACATGTCGCCGTCCAGGGGCCAGTCGATGGGACAGGCTTGCACAGACAGCGTAGTCGGCGGCATGTATTTGTCGTACACTGGCGATGGAAGAAGACCGTCCACGGGTGGGACGTTGCTATACTCGAGCGTCGAAGGATCGATCGCGTACTCCCAAGTAGCAGACGGAAGGAACTCGAGGTCGATCGCACGAGGCTCTAGTGGATGTTGCCCAATCACATTCTCAGTCCGAGGAACTGCAGAAATACCGTCACATCATGTGTAAGTGAGGATGAGATCGGGCACTGACTGTCAAACGCGTAGTTGAGCGGCCCGCGGTGCACCGCAACAGATCCATGAGGACGGCTCTCTGCAGTGAATGAGCGCAGAGACCAGTAGCAAAAGCACAGGACGCACCAATGCGGATATCCGCCGGAAGTTCCATCATGATGACTGTTGTCCCGGCCTTGACTTCGACTGCATGCAGTCCATTCTCATTCGGACGGACTGCTTCCGGAGCAGCTCCACCGACGGAAATCAGTCCCTGCGTAACCCAGCTGGGGATCCGGACAAAGTACGTGAACGGTTGCTGCGCAGTCAGCGTCGTCTTCAGAGTATCGCCGAAGCTGTCCTGAACTTAGAGACCTGTCAACATTCCCATCACTCCATGCACATACGGGTAGAGAGTCTCCACATTTGCGGTCACTTTGTTCCCTGCAACCCACAGTTAGCTCATGACTCAGTTCTATCAGGCAGACAAACCTGATGCGAGCGTGACCGTGGTGTTCAGCGGACCGAGATAGAGGTGCACAAGCGAGGCTTGGTCTGCAGTCACCAAGAAAGAGTTTGTGATGAACTTGGGGAATCCTTGCGGGAAATCAACGGTGCAGCACGGGTAGTTGGGCTCCAGTCCAAAAACGTTCGAATAGGGCCTTTGTTTTGTCAGCATCCGCCTACGAGGAGATATATCGAACACACCCATCTTCAGGGAAGGGATTAGGCTACGCGAGAGTGAGCATTGTAGTCGAGCGAAAGCAACCAGGAGACTCACGGTCATATTCTTGCTGGCGACTTGGTTCTGCTGCTGCAGATACTGGCGGCCCCACATATCTGCGGCAGAATCAGCACAGGCTTTCGTTCTACTGAGGAATCTCCTGGGCACCTCCAGTGAGGGTAGCAGGCAGTGCATTGTATGCCATCCGCTCCACCTTACCAGAAAGTCAGCCCCTCGACGACTTCCCACATCAAGTTCAACAGACCTGGTCCGCGTACTTGAGATCGCCAGTGACCTGGTACAAGAAAGATCCCCTTCACCATGTCAGAACTAGTCGTGATAGAAAGAGACCGGCACTCACGAGAACATGGCTTCAACTACCAGGCAAAGCTCCGTCCTAGTCATTATGCTTGTCAGCCCAGAGACTCAGTAGATTGCAACATAACAGACCCTCGAACAGCTTCGAGGCCAGCCAGATATTCATCGGCGGCGAAGGCACCGGAGGGTCGACCGTGATACTAGACGATCTCAATGTGATGCTCAAGTCCTATAAAGTGGTTTTGAAAGACCTTGAAAAGCATGTCCCAGCCCTTGCTCGCCACATCCAAGTCTTGTTAACGAATTAGCTCCGAAGACATCTCTGACGACGACAGGTAGCTCACCAGACTGGTTATGCGTGAACCGATACGTAGCCGGGAGGGCCTTGAGGCCTTCTGCCATGTTAACGCCATGCCACTGCACAATATGGGTGGAAAGCGATGTAACACAGCAGTTAACGCACAGAAAGTTCGGGGAACGGATTCTCAAGCTTTTCCGCTTTTAGAGAAGAGTCAGTCCAATGACTTGATATCTGCTGAGCCTTTCCGCTGACCTTCCAGTTTCGGGAAGAACTGACTCATGCATCAGTGAGAGCCGCAGTCAGCCTGAAAAGCAAGCAGCGCACCTCTTCCGAGAACACAAGTTCCCAAGGAATCCCACTCATCTTCGACTCTTTCATAGTATCGATCAGCAGCTCTTCCTTGCCTTTCGGATGGTTATCGTATAACCTGGCATGCCTTCAGAGAGGATGCAGATCAAGCGTCGAACGAAGCACGTACCATTGCAGGACGTAAACAAAGTCTTCCCAGCGCGTAGCAGCCCACTCTTCCGTGCCATTCCCGGCCTTCAGCATCGCGTTCGCCAGAGGGACGAATCGATGCAACGCGTCGACGACGGTGTCCGTCAGCTCAGGATACGCCTCTGTCATCTGAATCGCGCCCAGAAAGAACGGGTAGCTAAAAGTTGCCCGCGTTGAATAAGGCTCGATCGTTCGTCGCGGGAGAGCACGCACCGTCCCCACAGGATGCGCCTCTTGTCCGTCCCCACCTCGGGACCCAGCCAGCCGCTTTCGTCCTGGGTATCGATGACGTAGTCCATGAACTCCCTCGTCTTCTTGTTGATGTCCTCCGACTCTGCAAGCACGCCGTTCGGAACCATCGCGTTCTCCGTGTACCCTTCAGCTTTCTTGACCGGCAGCTAGGGATCACTTACAAACCAATAGCTTCCAGCTTTGAGCGGGGAGTGAATTTCAGTAACGCACAAGAGGTCACCGTGCGCACCTTCTTCGAGATACGAATACGCCATACTTCCTCCGACCCAGTCTGTGTCCTCTACCCTGATCCGCGCAGTTCAGGACTGGCCGATTACGCAGTGGAGACTGCCAATCTGTTGCACTGTACGCACCATTTATAGAACTCGTGCTCGTGTCCCGCCAAACCAGTCGTCTGCACCATCAACTGGTCATACAGCCACCCACTGGGCCGGATCTGGCCGAGCGGGAGCGTCTCAAACTTCTTCGGTGCGACTGCGAGACGCTCAGTGCATGCTATCTGAGCCACCGCGAGCCAAAACACGCACGCGATGCATCGCAAATGGCAACAGAGGCCAACGACGCGAGCAGCAGGGGTAACATGCCGGTACCACGAGCGAGAAACGAAGCGCCGCGGGCCGCGCTTCGATTTATGTATGCATGTATTCGAGCATGACCTCAGCTTATCTCACGGCTCACCCCGGCTCACCTCGCTGCGGAGAAAACGGGAAGCCGCGGTCCGCTGATAAGAATGCGTATCTGAGATGCGATGCGATGCGAACTTGAAGGGTGATGAGCGCATCATTCTGAGATGCAGCCCTATGCTGCGTAACAGGGCATCGTTCTCCAGGTCACCCGAGAAGCTCAGCACAGCAGCGCGAATGGATGCATAGTAGTCGAACAGAATGTTTCAGGGACTGGGTGCTCGGTAGAAGCGCACAAGGAAAACGTTGTGACCGTGATTTGTGACTAGACGCGTCTCGTCGCGATGTTCATGACCCCCCGAAGGCTGATTCTCTAATGGGATCGCGCGATTGAGATTGATAAATAGTAAGTGTACACAGGTGCTGTAGTCCTCTATGAATAAATGCGCGCTATATCACAGCAAACGTCCCCGTTTCCTCCCGCTCATTGAAGAGGAGGCTGATGCTCTCCCCATTGTGCGTTCGGCGGATGCTTTCGGCGATGGTATGACTGACGTCGATAGTCACAAGCTTGGCACAAGAGTCCTTGTGCGCCGTTTGAGGGATGGTGTTGGTGACCTGCGCAGAAAGTTATGGATTGGCATTCGATCAGAGGCTCAATCCTTGTGCTTACCACGAGCTGGACCAAGGGCAGTTGGTCGATCATGGTCAGATTCGTCTCAGAAAGCAGACCTACATAAATTGAATAGAGCCGAGCAGACAGGAACACCCGACACCCACCATGAGAAATCAGCGCATAGATCGCCTTAGCACCTTTTTCGTGCAGCGTTTTTGCCGCCAACGTTAACGTGTTTCCGGTATCGATCATATCGTCCACAAGAATAGCAACCTGGCACGCTGTGAGGTCTTGATGCAATCTCAACACCTGCATACACACCTTGTCTTTCACATCGCCCACCAGGATCTCCATTCTTTCTGGCGCGTTTCGGATTTTTCGATCCCGTTTCCGGTTAATCAGCGCGAACTCGATCTCCAGCTTGTCCGCGATGGCTGTAGCTCTAAGCGACATAGCATCAGCAAAAAAGAGATAGGGGGACGGAATCAGCGGGCCCACCGTTTGGCACCGCCAGCATCAGGGCTAACAACGATCCCATTCTGCCAATCGGGGACGTGTCGCTTGATGTAGGTCAACATGAGGGGTTCGGACCACAGGTTGTCCACCGGAATGTCAAAGAAACCCTGGATTTGACTCGCGTGCAGGTCCATCGTGATGACATGGTCGCACCCAGCCACGACGAGCATGTTGGCGACCAGTTTCGCGGTGATCGGTGCGCGGGACTTGTCCTTCTTGTCGTTTCGCGCGTACGGAAGCAGGGGATGACGGCGGTGATGCGGCGAGCGGATGCCGTTTTGCAGGCGGAGATGAGGATGAGGAGCTCCATGAGGTTGTCGTTGACGTCGGCGCAGCCGGACTGCAGGATGAACACATCCTCGTCGCGCACGGACTCGGAGATTTTGACGTTGATCTCGCCGTTGGAGAACTTCTTCACCGTGCAAGGGACGAGGGGGACATTCAGCCTGGGTTTCAAGGCATTAAAACACCAGTCGATCGACCGAAATGCTTTCTCGCGGAAAGCAGTATCTCACCGCTCGACCACAGCCTGGGCGAGCTCCGGGTGACTGTTCCCTGCATCAGTGTTAGTGGGCGGCCAAGACACTGAGGCAGAACACACCCGTTAGGATTCGGATAGAGTTGTTGTGATACATAAGGAGAACGCAAGACGAAAGGGATAAATGAGGAGGAGAATGTGATGAATGCGCGGAGAAGGACTATAACATGAAGGTTTCGATTTGAGAGTGGAGGAAAAACTAATCATTTGCGATCGGCACAGCATTGCAGATGCTTACTCAGCAATCTCTGAGGCTAGTACTTTATCAAGACAACGGAGGAACTCTAATGGAGATATTCTCTACAACGTATTCCGAGTCTGCATATCCCAGCAACTGCGTCATGAAAGAACTATCCGAGAAATGAGAACGAGCGGGGACGAGTAATGTAAAAGCGTGCTGACCTGTTCAATCCTTTGACCTTGTCGATCTGCGCCGAATTGTAGTTCGCCAGTCCTCGGCCAACCTCAATTATGTCGGATTCAGCATAATTTCGCTCGACGGGTCGTGTCGGAGGAAGAGGGGATGCAGAGACAAGTTCCGAGGAGGAAGCCGTCCTGGATAAGGCACCTGGCAGCGCGGCGGATTCCGAGTCCGTGATGCCTTCTACCGGTTTCCGAATGACGATTCGCACAGCCTGGCCGGATGCGAAAGCGCCTATGACGCCGTGGACACCGACTCCGAGCAGCCGGCCTCCAGATTCGCGTCGTGATAGCACGAGGTGAGCGCCCGAATCAATCACAACACTGCCCGCTGGGTATAGCGTGTGGGTCGTCCAGGCCTTGAGGTCACGCATCGGGACAGGACTTGGCGTGAAAACGGTGTGTGGCGGGCGGACGATTGTGGGATTTGTTGGTTCGACTGTTGGACTGGTCCTGCCAGAACGAGACTCCGAGGGCGTTCCTGGGTTGGACACCCGGGAATTGTGGAATTCGATGATCGAGAAAATGCTCTGCGGCGTTTTACTAGACGAGATAATCGTGGTCACCCCGGCTCCAGTCGCGATTTCGGCCGCGATGAGCTTCGTTTCCATTCCGCCTGTGCCGAGACTGGAACCAAGCGTGTGAGTGCTCACTGCAAGTGTTTAGCCTCTGCTCCACTCGAGGATGAGCTCCATACCTTGCGAGCGGATAGCCGCCACAGAGTTCACCACCTCAATCTGCCTCGCATCTGGATCTTTACGGGGATTTGATGTGTATAGGCCGTCCACGTCGGTCAGAAGAAATAGGTAGTCAGCATGGATCATTGAAGAGGTTACGGCCGATAATGTATCATTGTCGCCGAATTTGATTTCCTGAGCCGGAAGTTGAGTGGTGCTCAGATGACAGAGCTGAACTGCGTACGCTGACGGAAACCGTGTCATTCTCATTCACGATGGGAACCACGCCCATGGAGAGCAACTCCTTGAAGGTGTTGACAGCATTCAAGTAGCGTGTCCGCTGTTTCCGAACATTAGATGGCTGGCTCACTAGAAATCTCGTAATGGCCCACATCTGCAATATCCCCTCGCGTCAACAGAACTTGCGCGATCGGCTGTTCGACCTGACTGAACAGATTGTCCCAGAGTGCGATCAGACGCCCTTGACCAATCGCCGCAAGAGCCTAAACTCCTTGAGAAGCAAGTCACAAAAAGCAAACGTTGGATCCACACCTGCTTCCCGGACAGACTTTTTGGTTTGCTTGCCATGTTCATTCTCTTGAGACCGACACCGATAGCCCCCGAGCTGACCAGCACAACCTTGTGTCCCTCGCGTCGAAGGTTAACTACAGTTTCCACCACAGAAGAAAGCGTCGACAGCAGTGGCTGGTGCGTTTTCTCATGAACAATTGAGGACGTCCCTGAAAGAACGCAGATACATACATGAGCGTACGCCAGTTGAATCTTAGTCCCATCTCCGACCTAGTTTTATAACAATGGTGCATGGGTGCTTGGCCGTGCGCGCCATGGCTGGTCGAGTCAAGACTTTCAGAGACGCTGGCGTGATGCCATCAACCCCTGTCCGTCCGCAACCATAATGACAGAAACTGCCACCAAGCAGGACTTAGACTCGGTCGTGAAGCACAAGAAAGACGCCACTTTCTATCTAGAACATATCGTATTTCAGATATGCTTTTCGGTCGTCTTGTTATCAAGGCTGTTTGATTAGCACGTTCGAATGATCGGTGGAGAGCAAACTAGACAAAGTATGCCGCGACACTAATTACAAACAGCTCGGGAATGGTTGCTACCATGCTCTCCTTTCCATCTTATAACATATACGGATCCAGCGGCCATATTCCTCTCGAATTGGACTAGTATATCTTGGTCGGGATTCAACGCGTTACTGCAAGTGCTCAATCCTCCATAATGCCAGTGTATGCTGAGAGCCACGCCGCACCACATTTTCAGCTACCTCCGCAACATCCACACTCGACTCGACGCTTTCGGGGCCTGCATCTCCAACAGTCCGCGATCCTTTCTCGTTGAGGGTCTTGACACCGTTCGAACCCGATAGCATCAATAAGCCAGGGCCGATGTTGTCTCCGGTCGAACTGCCCCCGTTTTTGGTCAACATGCATCTCCGACCCATGGGTTTGCGCCCCGATCCTCCTTAAAATCTACTACGGCTTTCCCTAGGCAGTCAAAGCCACGACTGTACGCCAGCAGAGGGTACCGATGTAGTGCTATGTAGTGTCGTCCAGATCTTCCGAACGAGATTAGATGAGATTATCACTGTATCACTGCTTTGTCGGCATCAGTATTACCAGTGAGTACCTTGACGGACGGCATCAATCCTGACAGTTTCTCACTGGCATCTACCTCCATGTCTCCAAAGTCAACCCACCAGGCCACGATTGAGAAGGCTTCGACTTATTATCTTGAACCTATCGTGTTCTTGGTCAAATTGTTCTGGCCCCGTTCCCTCGCCAAAAACCAATGATTTCCGCTCCTACAGGTCGAGAACACGCTCTTCAAGGTTCCGCGATATCAATTCGAGAACAAATCTGGTGTCTTTGGAACAGCATTCTCCATTCCTTCACCTGACGGGGAAGGCTCGAGCGATGAAAATCCTGTCAAACTGGAAGGGATTGCCTCCAAGGACTTTGATGCGCTATTAACGGTCCTCTATCCATTGTGCGCGTGTTATGTTCATTCGAATGCTGGGGATCAGCCGCTGACGCTTTCCTCCAGATCCTCTCTTCCCACGACACCGGTGCTGAGCGCCGATCAATGGATCTCGGTCCTGAAGCTTGCCAACATGTGGCTATTCGAACAAGCGCGTGAGTTGGCCATCCGCCAGCTAGAGTCGCACAGCAAGACAGTGGATCCCATCCAGCGAGTTCTGCTCGGGCGACGCTATGACGTATCCGCCTGGATGCGCTCGGGATATACCGACATCGCCTCTCGGAAGGAATCGATGTCGATGGACGAAGCGAGGGAGCTTGGACTGGATGCAACGTGGCAGATATCTCAACTTCGAGAGGCCAGGGTTGCCCAGCACACATTACTGATCCAGCACTCCAATCTGTACAGGAATATCGATATTGCCAATGCATTCGAGGCCGAGCTGAGGCGGGCGGACGAGGCGCATCGGTCATTGCCTCCTCCGCCGCTGGAGCTCAAGCCCGCTACCTTTGTTGTCCCGCCGACCTCGTCTTCTGTGCTGGGCCAGCCACTGACCACATCAGAACGGCATCCGGTCTTTGGCCAGGCCTCTTTCCCTACGGCACGAAGCCTAACGCCTAGTAGCAGAAATAGCTCGGATATCGGAGGGTTCACCGCATACACTCTGGTCGCACCGCTTGCGTTCGGACAGACACCTTTATCCCAGGGGCCGTCGAGCTCATCGACAGGCTGATTACTATTCCTTTGAAGATATATATACCGTGTAATAGTGTTTATTGCGGACAGCTTACATGCTCGCCATCATTCTGCACGGTGTGTGAGGGTTATCGGAGAGGATGCAAGTCACAGAGTCTCAAGTTTCTACAGGACACGGACACTGGTAGATCTGATACATTAAGAATATAGTTGACGGGGCTCGTTTCCTTCGCTCGAACCCAAGGGCACAAGCGAGGAGAGCACGGGGAAGTCCACTGGCACTCAAGTCCTCGATGTTTCTCTGGTCATAATGTTACTGTCTTTGCCAGTGCCCACGGCTGTATGGTCTAGAAGCATGATTCCTGCTTTGGGCGAATTCCGGTTCACTCTAGAGTGTATCGATACGTTCACGACATTGCAGGAGGTCGGGGGTTCAATTCCCTCTGCAGCCCTTTTGCTGATCGCATCGATGATATCCCAGTCCGGCCACCATCGATTCGCGCCTACCCATAGCGCACAATTCTTCCTGGAGGAACAATACGTCGGACACCGTTTTCGCCTTATTTTATATTGTAAGGATATCGCGCTGCCTGGGACTCAGAACTTGACCCATCTGATAATTTCATTGCCCTTGCAGCAGAACTGACTACATTCTGATTGCAGAATGAATGATCTAGGTAGGTAGGTTCTTGAAGACACTTATGTAAGTAGAAGGCACTTGATAGACGAGGACAGATAAAACCCTCGGGGAGAGGATCGGAGTAGCTGGAATACATGCGAGTACTATACAATTCTTTGTCAGTAGAATCAGCGGCAGGCAAGCACATTGCGCATAGCTCGGAGATGATTGCTCAAGTCATAACATCTCAATGGCCACTGCTGTGGAGATGTAATTTCAATGGAAAGATCCAGTTGGTGGAGGATAACATGGGGAAATCAGCGCTCAGCATCCCCCGATCTGTTGAACAGGCACCTGGCTTGGTCCTTGGCGCAGAAAATTGAATGTGGTCGTGCTTTCCAAGTCGACCGTATATATTGGTTTCGGCGGACCTCGAGATCCACACAAGACGAGGGCGCAAACAGGGCGCTGTTCTGTGCGAGCTGGGATGTATGGTCACTTGCAGGCGTCTAATTAGACCTGTTTATAGAGCTTGTGAAGATGATTTCCGGCGAGGCCAAGTTGCATGTCAATTTCAGCGGATCTAGTCGGCGTCATGCAGCCCAAGACATTTGGCAATTTCTTGGCACGAGGTAAACTCTCACAGGAAAGTGAGCGAGTTCGTCTGCCTTCACCGCGATTTGCATGGTTCACTGAGTCTGAAATTGCAGACAGGCACGCTCGGAGAAAAGGAGAGTGGCGATGACTGGATCAGGCGATCATCATCACTTGTCCTATTCCATCCTCTTATCCGCCGGCGTCAAGCCTTGCCTGGCCTATGCCAAGCCAGCGTGCCATGGCTCCAAGACCCCGCAACTTGCTTGGGTATATGTTGGCTTTGTTATGTCTTGTCGCCTCGGCAGCGGCGGAGAGCTCGGACAACTCAAGTCACTCTTATGCGTATTTAGCCATTTGCTACCATGCAGGCTGGTCTTCCCGCTTACCCCATCTCCAGATATGCTGGAGATCCATACCTCAAGTACAGGCCGGCGTTCGCCCGCTCCCTCCCCGTGCAGATTCTGCTCACTGGAGTCGTCCTCACCCTCGTGGCCGTGCTCTTCATCCATCTCATCTTCACCGCGCAATATCATTGGCCTCTCGCTCCTGTGAATTATGTCCTCCAAATATCGGGGGTCAGCACCCTCCTCATCTCGCTGGTTGCCACCCTCCACGTCGTCCTGGCTGCGACGATGAATGAGAGCGAGCATTGGCCATATATGCTCAGTTACCTTGCCGTTAACGTGCCGCCAACTGATAATTCAACTTACGGGTGGAGCATCGCTGAGAGGGCAACGTGGCTGATCATGAATGCATCGACCTCTGGACTTATACAGGTACGGTCGACGTTTTTACTCCATTCGCGTTGCCAACGAATTGACATACAGATCACCCATATTCAATTCTTAACCCTTTTGTATCCGTCGCGTATGGAAGCAAGACTGATTTTCGCTCTACTCGGTGGGGCATCCATATTTTGCTCTTTTCAAACTAATGTTGTTCACTAGGTCCCCTAGCCGTCGTCGCTGCCATCATGCAACTCATCCCCATCGGCGCATCTGCCTCAGTCAACAACATCGCCTCGGCCGTCCGCAACGTTTGCAACGCGACTCTTTCGCTTCTCTTCACATCCGCGCTGTTTGTATGGGGGTTGCTGGTCAAGCGCCATGACGCATGGAGGACAGACGGAGGGACGGCTGCCTTCGGCTGTGCGGCTTTGACTCTGGCGTTACTCAGCACCGGCCTCAATTTCCTTTATGTCCCAAGAGAAGAAGAGTATATGTGGCTCCCGCCATTGATGTGGGCGGTTGTGCTGTGGCAGAGCTTCCTTGGTTGGTGGTGGTGGGTCGGCGCGGGCAACGGATATGGATACGATGAGGAGGAGTTTGAGCGGCTTCAGCGGCGAAAGGAGAAGCGAGCTGCCCGGAAACTCGAGCGAAAGAACCAAAAGAAGAAACCCAAGACCACAATCTCGTCCATCCTTCGGCAGCGACGTCCCCCGCCGGCAGAGTCCTCATCTGATCCAGAGCCGAATGCACCGGTCCAACGGTCCGCGACCTCGGCCGCATCGATCTCGTCGTCATCCACTTCGCCTGTCTTCCGTTTCCTACCCGGCTTTGTCCATCACTGGTACTCTTCACTCAGATACGAACATGCGGCCGCCGCTCGCCAACAAGCTGCTGAACGACAAGAACGGATAGGCCGGTCTGACCCGGTCAGAAATGGTTGGGGCCTTGGTAGTTTTGCGTGGAGAACGGTCGGATTGCGGCCCGGAGAGCCAAAACCAGCTTCAGAGGAAGAAGAATACGAGCTGGAACAACGAAGTGAACACCCTACTAATTTACAAGCCCCTCCCCCAGCGGTTGCTCGTCCACGCGGATTGTGGCTCTGGGGCCCTCTCGGCCAGTGGCGCCTACAAGACTCTACCGTGTATTAATTATCCCATGCTTTGTGTACTGCTATCTGAATCTCAACTTTGTCTTTGCTATACGCAATAGCCCCTAAACATCACGTGCTTGACGGTGGTGATCTTTCCTTCCTACTCACGTTCCGCGACCACTTGGCCTCTGCAGCTATGGAAGCGGCAAGATACCCCCAGACATTCTCCCGTCCTTCACTATTCGAGGATCTCAATACTTTTGGGAAACAAGAGTCATCGAAACGACGCGTCCAGCTTCGTTCATCTCAATGTTCTGACGATGAGGACGAGCTGGATCTGATACCGCGCCCATCTCAACTACCGCAACGAATCTTATCGGAACCGATGCCGGGCACAAGGGATGCGATCAGAAAGCTTCGTTTCAAGAAGACGAACAGTGCGTTCTCCAGTACCGCGACCGGGCAGGAGACGATTGAGTCGAAAGCGACGGGCAAAAACACATCCCCTGCCCGTACAAAGAGGATAACAGAATCCTCTTCATCCAATGCGCGTTCTGTACGCGAAGCACGCGTCAAACTCGTAACATCGCCCGACGATCCCGCGCCCGCACGGCCCAAACCTAGGCCGCTAGCACGACCAGTGGCATCCTCTTCGACCGCCAAATCGAAGCCCCTTGCTAAGCCTGCTTCAAAAAAGACATCCGTCTTTACCGATGATGAGTCTGGGTCCGACTCCGAGCCGAAATCGACACTGTCCGCGAGCAGAAGTTTCCCGCGGCCTTCGCCCCTGCAGAGCTCCAAGGGCAAAGCGAGGGCGTCTTCGCCGACTCCCAAGACTCGTGGATATCCTGCGCCGTCCCCTTTGGGCAATAATTCCAGAGCTTTGGAAGGGCGTAGCATGAATGACAAGGGAAAAGGGAAAGGGAAGGTTATTGAGCCGGCAGTGCGACCTTTCCCGCTCAATGCAGTGTCCCCGCTGTCCAAAAATGCCGCAAGAAGAGAGTCAAAGAAGAGCGCGCCGATCCGGCCATTCCCTCTGAAAAATGTCAAGTTGGGCTCCAGCAACTCCCCAGCCAAGCGCCGTTCAGCCGGTAGTGACGAGGATAGGGACAAGAAGCGGGTCAGGAGTGTCTCTATGTGCGTCGGACCTTATCTTCTCAATGCTACTCACCGACCGAGGGCAGCTCCTCAACGGAACAGGAACCTTTTGACTACGAGGGAGACAGCGCACTGTGTAATTATCACAATCATTGCCTTATCTGTCTACTCATTCGTTCTACTGCAGGTCTCATCTCCCCAGACACAGATCCCAAGATGCTCTGTCCCTTCTGTGATACCCGGCTTCCTTTGCATCCGACACCCTTGTTGCGCAGACTGCTGGCGGAAACTCGCAGGAAATCATACCGTGACGCTCGCCCGTCGAATCCGCTAGGTCGAAAAGCACCCATGAACGTCTTTGTCGCTGTATGCCAACGACACAGATTTGAAAGCGAGATTCTCCCCGAAGCCGATGCGAAAGGATGGCCGAAGTCCATTGATTGGGAGCGTCTCCAGAGTCGCGTCCAGGCTATGCAGCATGCTCTGCGGGCCATTCTCGAAGACCGCGGCGCCGCAATTGTTTTCGGGAAAAATGCGGACGAGTCGGACTCGGATGAACCTCACCGCGGCCCGCGCATGCAGTGTATATTTTGGCGAGACCTTCTCAGGGATCTCAAAAACAAGGGCAGTAAAGCCGTCAAGAGCGTTCGAGGACAGTTTGCTACGTTCGAGAAGACGCAACCTGGATAGTGCGTGTGTGCATCAGTCGCGGTGCATTTGCACTGATAACTTGCGCAGTTACGGTGAAATGGGCGCCATGATCATCAACCAGACTTTGTACAATAGCTTCCCGCTGGACAGCATCAATCCTGATCTGGTATTGCCCTTGACTCCTCGGGATTTCATGCAGCGGATTCTCATTCCAGAAGTCGGAATGCGTCTCGTGATTGAGGACATGAACATGGACGTTGATGATGCGGACGACCGAGCGACTGCCGTGCAGGTATTGAGAGACAGCGCGAGCTACGGGGTGGCAATGTTTCCGGAGGATGGCGGCGAGTGGGGCAAGTCGTCCATGAGTCAAGTTGTTGACGAGAATGATCTGGGTGTTGCGGACCTGATGCTTCTCGAACGAGCCCGCAGACGTCGAAAGGAGTTGGAGGTCGAAGAGAGGGAAGAGGAAGAGATGATGCACCAGGATACAATTCGAGAGACATCTGACTCAAAGCCCAAGGCGAAAACGAGAGCGAAGCGGAAGACAGAGAAGGAAAACTCGGATGAGCTGGTGACTATAGACGAAGAGTCTCCCCTTCAAGCTCGACCCCGGCCGAAGGCCTTGCACAAAAAGAGAGCAGCTGTGCTTGCCTCCAGCGACATGGAAACTGATTCGTCCCGGGGTACGATAGAAGACGACGATACTCTGCCCTTCACAAGCCGCAGTGAAGCGGAGCCGACCCCGAAACCGAGTCGGCGACCGACACTCGAGTTGAGCAGCTCAGACGAATTGATTTCCAAGAAATGGAAGAGCAAGCAGAAGCACATGGTCTCGGAATCCGATAGTGATGCCCGGCCGCCAAAAAGCTCGCCGTCGTCTTCGTGTATGGCGGTCGTCGACGCTTGTTCGGACGACGACGGGAGTTTCTCGCTGGTCTCGGCTGACAAAACTCCTCGACCTTCACGTTTGGCTGCTTCGTCCTCGGATTTCCAGCCACTCGCAGCTGCTCGGCGGCGTGCGAAGAACAAACCGTAGGAGCACACGAACTACGCTCATTCTTGTTTTCACTGTTCATAGGTCGCGAACGGACTCTCACGGCTGGTTGTTGGACGACATCCCGCCGCGCGATTCGAAATGATTGAAGAATTACACATCAATGTCAATAATACAACTCTCTACTCTTGATTACAACATAAGTACGCTATAGACCGCCCTTGTCTAATCCCAAACGGTCCACGTGGATCTTCTTGTACGCCCAGTCTCGGATGAGAACACCTGCGATCGCCGTCACTGGCGGAACGCGGAACGGCGGCTCGTCCACGACCGATGGCTTTTCATTGTCTTTGGTGGTGGTCCCATCGGCAATGTCCTGGAATTTCTTGTTGTCTGTGTTGCTCAAATACGAACCTTTGGGGTGTTCGAGAATCGACACGACTTCCTCGCGAGTGTACCAGCGCGCATCTGTTTGCGATTAAGACCTCGTTCGACGAGCAGAGTCGATGAGAGGACTGACCAACCAGCTCATTATCCAAATCTAATCTGATGGGTTGCGAAGAGTCTGCTCTGGCGTAGAACCCGACCTAGTCAGATATCAGTCGAGAGCCCGTTTGAGCCGATATGTAGATACCGTACCATCAGGTTTGCAGGAAACGGCCAAGGCTGCGCCGAGTGATAGACTGGATTCGTGACCTTGACTCCAGCTTCCTCCCACATCTCTCGAACCACTGCATCTTCAAACGTCTCTCCTGGCTCCATGAAACCTGCCAACGCAGAGTAGAATTTGCCAGGGTACTTCTTCCCTCGGCCAAGCAGGATTTTATCTCCAGTCTCGTCTATGGCGATCATGATGACGACCGGATCTGTGCGAGGGTGAGCGAAATTCTGCAGTCCTCGACTGTGCGGATGTTCGATCAGGGAGCTCAATGAAAAGCGGATCGCACGCACGCCGTGGGGCAAGGCTTTTTGCCGGTGTTGTCAGCCCAGGGGAGAAGTGTCGAGCAGGAGATTTTCCATCCGCCCCATTGAGAGTACGTCGGGCTGCCACATCCAGGACAGAACTGAGGGCAACATCAGAGAGATGACGACGGGGAAGAAGGACGAACGAACTTTGTTGCGCCGATTCCAATCTACCATACTGCGCGCCTCGTTGAACAGGTCTAGCGACGTTTGATCCAACTTTAGACCCATCATGACCCCCCGGGCTTCCGCCCAGCTGAGAGCTAACGAATCCTTCTCCAAACTAAGCAGAGCATCCGCATCATCTTCCGCCTCGCTGACGTCTATGGCAAAGTACGGTGCGCCCGTGAGGTTCGCCACGGCCTTTTCGGGGTCCGTGAAGTCGGATGACGGGAGCGCATTGGCTACGGACAAAGTGTCAAGAAGACCCAAGAAGACCACCCGGACACCACGATGACGGACCGCCTCCGTGAACGAGATCTGCTCCTCCGCGGTGAGCAGGCCGCCCTCGTCTTTGCCCTGCCCGAAGTACGGTGCGGGGCCGAGGAACGGCTGGAGCTGGCTCGTGGAGAGCGTAGCGATACTGGGCCGCGCGTTCGGATCCGATGCGGGGACGGAGACGAGTTGATTGTGTCCTTTAGACACGAGCCATCTTGCTTTCGGGGAGAGTGCGACGGCGTTCAGGAATGAAGGAGACGAGCGCAGCCAAGACAGGCGGTTGAGAGGCGATCCGTAGTCTCTGTGCAAGAATAAGATGTCTGCGTTATTGCGAGTGCATTCCCTGGTTCATCGGACGCACTTCTGAGCCATGATAGTGATGGTCGTAGGTTTTGAGATATGTTTGCTGAGCAATCTCCGAATCGCGCACCGGGGATTTATATTACGCGTTCCGGTCAATCCGGACCGGAGAGAGTGATTGTAAAGAATGTTGGCGACGTTTGGAATCAGGGAATGGCGCGTGAGTGTGGTCGATGACCGAGCAACAAGCGCTGAAGAAGTTGAATGGGGAACTATGCCTGCCGGTGGATGATTTGTCAAGCCCGATCAATCCCGCCGACGCGACAGTCAATGCAACGCTGAGTGGAGCTGTCTACAACTCCTCTACTTTTGCCTGAATAAACTCGATCTCCGATGACGAGAAAATATCTCTGAACACTGCGAATGTCTTTTCGTCGATAATAGCGAAAACGACCCTGCGGAAAGACCGTCTGAACCGCGAATCTAGCAACTCAATCCAGAGCTTTGCGACAGTGGCCACATTATTGCGGAAGACGCCTGTACCGAAACTTCCCAGGATGACGTCCTCGATGCCATTCTGCTTAAAAATGCAGAGCAGCCGCCCCATCCGCTCCTTCATAACCTCCTCAATCGCCTCCTCGATATCACTCTCGTTTGCACTCCGTTGTCGCACGACACCAGCGTTGACCGCGCAACTTGTCAGGACGTCCGCAGTGGCTGGCGCCGCCCAGGTCCCATCGTCGTCCCTCATAAAGGTCACGCTGTGTGTGAACACCATCGCATGCGTGTAAAACTTGCTCTTGGTAACATGGGTATGCGTGTGGTAGAACCGCTGTCCCGCTGGAGACATCAGCGAGGAGTACAGATTTGATGACCGCGCGAGGCTCTCTTCTTGGGCACTTGCCCCGGACAGGAATCCGCCTCCGGGACGCGTGGCTGAGGCGAAGTTGAGCACCCCGACCTTCCCACGTGGCTCTCTCGCGCAGAATCTGAGTCCTTGTATCGTCGAGCCCCGGTACAGCAAGATGTCTGCGTTTGAGACACTCTCGTTCGAAGATGAGGACTTCCATGCAGACGCCAGTTCGTCTTCAGGGGGATAGTATTTCGTAGCCTCTTCTACGCCGCCTAGATCTGGAACGATGTGTTTTGTCCCATTGGTGTCGGTATAAGAACCGGCGGCGACGGCGGCGAGGGTGTCTTTGGCAATTTGTGCGCGCACAGGATGAGGCATAATGAGACCTATGTGGTGTCTGATTGTTTGACTTATGAGAGATTGAAACAAGCGGCTCCGAGTTCTGTCACTCCCCGGATACCTATGAGCGTTGACATGAATAAGACAAGCAAGTGGCACTGGGTGGACAAGCACTGCCATCCGAGTGGCGTTTCGTCTGTAATCTAATCTGATCGTCAGATGTGATCATTTCTCCTGCCACTCTCGGCTACTACATAGTACTCGACTGAAGTCTTAGGCTCCATCTTGTCAACACTATGGTATACATATGTTCCAGGCGAAGCCTGAAGCCGTTAGGTTTCACTGGTGAATCTTGATAAAATAATTTTTAAGTAGTATAGAACGTGCATCCTCACAAGCTCGGACAACTTTCCATTAACGCCCACAAAGTAAAGCTGGATCCTCTCATGTGTTTCTACATCGCGTAAAGAAGACAATCTAAATCACTCCAAGGGATAAAAGGATCTGTTACATGCTGTATAACACTTGTCCTCAGAGTCGTGATCGAGCACCAAGCTCGATCCCATTATCTCGGAGCACGATGAGAGCCAAATTTCCGATTATCTTGAACCCTTCGGCATGGATGTGGGCACGTTCTGAGCTCGCCTGTCGCCGAGCAGCTCGGGCTGCAATTCCTTGGGAAATAACAGCAAGCTGATTGTGTCTGTCAGAGCTGCCTGGAATGTCAAAGGGCATGCGCACCCGGAAGAGCATCCAGCTGCGCACAAACACCATCTCTGTGATGGGAAACGCCTGGTTCGTCAATCGACAATACTCTCGCTCCAGTTCATCTAGGGTTACGGGCGCTGCATCCGGCTCGTCTTTGAATCCACGCATGAAGGGATCCGAGGCATCAAGCTGAATGTCCTTGGTTCGCACGTTCCATGGCTGTGTGAGGTTGGCCAAATCTGCGAGCTAGGGTACTGTGAGCATTCCTCGGGTTGATGGCCCCAAATGACGCACAGGGCTGCCCAGAGTGCACAATTCCCAGTCAAGAATGGCAATGACCCGATTCTCCGTGGGGTGGAAGATGAGATTGTCCAACTTGTAATCTCCATGCACGATGCGCAGCCCCATCTTCTTCTCGTCAGGAAGGTGTTGGCGATACCAGGCCATGAGCTCGTCAAAGAAAGGTATGGGCCCAACGGCCTTGTTCGTGTCCACGTCGGTGATCACTGCTTGAGCTTGGGACACTTTGGACAGTGATTTCATCTGCCGAGGATAGTAGTCCGACGACGGCCCAAATGTTGCTAGCCCAACATCGGAAGGGGACACGGAGGCAATCGCGGCGAGAGCCGTGACAGCAGATAGCCAGCTAGGCACCACCTCAGTAAATGAAGAGGAGAACCGATTAAGCTTACCACTCCTTCCGGTCCTTGGGTGCGATTTCGGGCATTCTCATGTCGGTGAAGATGCGACCCTCGACGAATTCCATCACGTAGAACGGGGTCCCAATAACGGCGTTGTCTTCGCAAAGAATGATGGGCTCGGGAACAGGGACGCGTTGGACGGGTTGGGTGCGGGAGTTCGTGTTGTGAGCATGAAGAGCCCGTAGCATCGCGTATTCCCTCTCGACTTGATGAGCTGTCTTCGAAATCAGACCCCCTGCAGGCTTCTTCCTCAACACAAGTTTGAGATTGCTGAATGTATCATCGAGCAAATGAGATGACAAGGGCGGAGCTGAGCAAGCATAGCACCTACTTGGCATCGGTCAAGAAGTATGTCGGATTAGACTCGACAAGCGTTCAGTATCGGACGCAAGTACGGAGCGCACAAAGTTTACCTGTCCAAACTTGCTAGCAAGTCAGTACTCGAATGCGAGACCAGTATTCTGACCAGACTGCATGACAGACCTTGAACTGCTTCACGTCTATAGGTCCTCTCAGCACCTTGACGTTGCGGAGCAGATACTCGGTCAGAGAGTCGACGTCGATGTTGGCCCTAACTTCCCCAAACTCTCCACCAATTTTCTGATTCGCGGTCATGGCTAGATTTCGAGACTCGAAAGATGTAGAAGACTGAAGAGCTATTGAAGATTCGTACCCCGCACTACCAAGTGATCGAGTCCGGAGTCCGGAGCCAAATCTGCCGGTTGGCCACGTATGGATCAATACATTGAGGATCCGATCAACTTACCCCGGATCATGGACTTCAACTGTCTTCGGCACCTCCAGGCACCTCATGCCATTTGCAGTCATGGAAGGAGCCAGAACCAATCCAAATTTATGACGGAACTCACTCGCTCTCGCCTTGAGGCCTGCCTCAAACGCCTCGCCTCAAACGTACGCACGGCTTCGTGCAGGAACTGCTTCTTTGTAGCATAAAGCTTGACACACTGGCAACCCAGAGCCTACCCACCGATTGCAGAAGATTTGGTACCTTCGCGAAGAACTGTATGCCTGTTGCGCGCCTCGACACGATTCCATAGGAATAATTCTTAATTGACGCGCCATTCCAGTCTCATTACTTCGAGGCGGCTCTTGAATAACGACATAGCACCGTGGCTCATATCGCCCGAAGAGATCATTTCGCAGCCTCCTGTCGTTCCGTCGTCTTCCTCCTCTGCACTACTATCATCAATCTCTCTATTTGACATTCAGCCATATCCTATTCACGACTGCTAGCTTTCTTGACGACATGTCTGCGCCATATGTCTACAATCCACAGGCAGAGCACTTCCCACCATTCCGATGGCAGGCTACGAGCAGCTGTTGGCCCCGCGCATATGGCCAGCCATGCAGTGCCAACACGCCACATGCTCCGTCACCTCCCGCTACGATATATCCTCCTTCTCCGTACGCCAGCCCCCAACAGCAGCCTGTCGCAGAGTCTCCCTTTATATCTGGTTTAAACGGCCCAGACCTGTTCGGATCTCCATACCAACACAGCAGACAGTCGCCCATACAACCATTCATTCCTCCATTATCACCTTTCGCCGAGCCTATCAGTCGAGCACCTTCGTGGCCGGGGGCACCACCGAGTTGGAGTCCACCAAGCACGCCGTTCGCTGCTGCTGCCACACCTGTTATCGCCGGCGCTCCAATTATCACTGGGGCATTCCCTGCGACGCCGTTTGCTGGTGGGCCCTATGGCACGCCATACCCAGCTTTGGTCCAATCATTCAGTGGGGCACCATTCGCCAATCAGCCACTTCCAGGCATATATCCATCCAACTACGGATCATTTCCTGGACAGATTCAGATTCATCCATCGCTCAGCAGTGACACTTGCTCACGCATAATCCTATTCGATCTCTCATATTCAGCTTTCCTTCCGCAGAAGCTCGTCTCGCCTGGCAGCGAGGATACGGTTCACTTCTCCATGTCCGACATCCAAGCACAGGCTTTTTACCCAGGCGTGAACAGGCTGCGAATCGTCTGCGATATGACGCCAGACTTGCCGATCGAGCTGGCGTACCCTCTCGGTGGCCAAGGCCCCCCGATCAGCGTCGGGGATGTGCTCATTGCTATCCATCAGCAACTGCACAAACCCATCTCGAGTGAAGACTGGGAGGCTTTGTCGTCGAAGAAAGAAGCTCGAGTCTCGAGAGCTTTCACGCGCCGTTGCAGGCAAGAGAGTATCCGATGTCAAACCGGATACAAGTCCGACTGTGGAATACACGAGCGACAGAAGGGTGTCAAGTTTGTCGATTTTCTGCAGGGAAAAACGATGTTCCGAGGGCTTGTGAAGACTGACGATGGACTGCTGAAACTGGTTGTGGCCGACCCTTAAATTATATTTCTGTATGTATATGTACCAGAACTGGGCACCATTGACAGTAACCGCGTGTACCGCCACCTGGCCAGTAGTAGTACTCTATGTGTACTGTATGCATGTCCGCATATGATTCTTACTAGATGTGATTTCGATCAGGACGCGCGGAATCCAAGCCCGGATGACTCCGTGGGAATGTTCTGGTCTTTTCCGGAAGCGTCCGGCTCGGCAAATCAGCTTACATATACGCGCACGCAAATTTTCCAACTCTCACCTCTTCCCCCATCCCTCCCCCTCCATCATGTTTCTTCGTCCCCTCCGTGCGGCTAGTCGTTCAGGGCCCCATGGCGTACGTCGCCTCGTGTTAGTCTCTGAGCGCGACTTATATTTCTGTTCAGCGTTCATTACTTTCACGGTCTATGAACACCAAAGTCAACGGTATGTACTTTCCCCGTCGCGCTGCTCTTCTCTCTCAATGTGTTGCACAGGCCCCGTCGTTGGTATTGACTTGGGGACCACGAACTCTTGTGTCTCCATAATGGAGGGCAAGACGTCTCGTGTCATTGAAAACGCGGAGGGTGCCCGCACAACCCCGTCAGTAGTCGCTTTCGCCAAGCACGGCGAACGTCTTGTCGGTCTCCCTGCCAAACGCCAGGCTGTTGTCAACTCCGCCAACACTGTGTTCGCCTTCAAGCGTCTCATTGGCCGTCAGTTCAAGGACAAGGAGGTGACTGAGGACAGGCAGCACTGGTGAGGGTCTGTTTCTTATGTGTCAGCTGTGGCTGAACTAGATTCACAGGCCTTTCAACGTCGTCGCCGGTCCCGAGGGTCGTCCTGCAGTGCAGGTTGAGGTCGACAACCAAAAGAAGAACTATGTAAGTTCGCTGTCAGTCGCTTAATTTGACTGCTCATGGAAATCATCTCAGTCTGCGGAAGAGCTTTCGTCCATGGTCCTGGTGAAGATGAGGGAGACCGCTGAGCAGTTCTTGAACCAGAAAGTCAAGTGAGTTTTTTTGCCGGTGGTGCGAGAGATCTTGCAAGCTGACGTGTCTTGTGTATAGCCATGCTGTCATCACTGTCCCCGCGTACTTCAACGATGCCCAGCGTCAGGCCACCAAAGACGCAGGCCAGATTGCCGGTCTTGACGTGCTTCGTGTCATCAACGAGCCGACCGCCGCTGCGCTGGCCTACGGTTTGGACAAGGACAGCAAGGCGAAGGTCGTTGCAGTCTACGATCTTGGCGGTGGAACTTTCGATATCTCCATTCTGGAAATGCACGATGGCGTGTACGAAGTCAAATCCACCAATGGCGACACCCACCTTGGCGGAGAGGACTTTGATGTTGTTCTGGTCGACTTCATTTTGAGCGAATTCAAGAACGAGCACGGCATTGACCTGAAGTCGGACCGGATGGCCATCCAGCGTATCCGTGAAGCTGCTGAGAAGGCGAAGATCGAGCTCTCGTCGACCAATCAGACTGAGATCAATCTGCCGTTTATCACTGCGGATGCCAGCGGCCCGAAGCACATCAACAGCAAGTTGTTGCGTTCCAAGTTCGAGTCCCTCGTCGCTCCTCTCATCGAACGGACCGTCGCACCTTGCAAGAAGGCTTTGACTGACGCTGGCGTCAAGGCCAGCGAGGTCCACGAAGTCATCTTGGTCGGTGGTATGACTCGCATGCCTCGTGTTGGTGAGACGGTCAAGGCCGTCTTCGGTCGAGACCCCAGCAAGGGCGTCAACCCCGACGAGGCTGTTGCCATCGGTGCTTCCATCCAGGGAGGTGTTTTGGCCGGCAACGTCACGGACGTTCTGCTCTTGGATGTCACTCCTCTGTCCCTCGGTATCGAGACCCTTGGTGGTATCATGACCAAGCTCATCACTCGTAACACGACCATCCCCACCAAGAAGTCGCAGGTGTTCTCCACCGCGGCGGACGGCCAAACCGCGATCGAGGTGAAGATCTACCAGGGTGAGCGTGAGCTCGTCCAGGACAACAAGCTGCTCGGCAACTTCAACCTGGTCGGCATCCCCCCCGCGCCCAAGGGCGTTCCCCAGATTGAGATCACCTTCGACATTGACGCTGGTATGTCCTTGAACGTTCCTCCGTGCGATTCTCTCTCAAACTTGACCTGCAGACGGTATCGTCAACGTTTCTGCCAAGGATAAGGCTACCAACAAGGATCAGTCCATGACCATCGCCTCCTCTTCTGGCTTGAGCAAGTCTGACATCGGCAAGATGGTGTCGGATGCGGAGCAGTTCGCCGAGACCGATAAGGCTCGCCGTGAGCTGATCGAGGAGGCTAACAAGGCTGATTCCGTCTGCGCTGACACTGAGAAGGGTTAGTCTGCTTGTTTAATTGCTTTACTGCGTTGCTCACAGAGATGCAGCTATGTCCGAGTTCAAGGACCAGCTCGATGCGACTGAGAAGGAGAAGGTCACCAACCTTGTCAGCCAACTGCGCGAGATTGCGCTCAAGGGCCAGGCTGGTGATGCCTCCATCACACCAGACATGATCCGCGAGAAAATCAACGAGACCCAGCAGGCTTCGCTCGGACTTTTCCAGAAGGTCTGTGCTACTTTTTTCATGCTGTGATATGTTTGCTGACATGCAGCCCCAGATCTACGAGAAGAAGAACGCAGAGAACGCCAGCTCCGAGTCGTCCTCTGAGCCCAAGGAAGAGAAGAAGGAGTAGACGCATTCTTTTCCTGGCGCCCATCTGCAACCGCCACGACCCGACTAGACGAAAAGTATCCTATCTTAGCATACACTCTACTACTGACATCACACCATGGTATATCGATACTTGCATGCCTTCGCAATCCCCCCACTCAATCTTGTACATGACGTAGGAAACAATAAAACAAAAGATTGAATAATGACCTTTCTATGCGCTGAACCGAAGAAGTGAGGCAACTTGTAGCGGTGCAGCCGTGTTGGGGTTTGCTTACCTTGCCTCTCTCTCTTCCACTGTGACCCACAGTGACCGCCCAGTGACCTCGTCGTGTCGCCCGATAGTCACATCAACGCGACGCGTGGGATGGACGACACATACTCTGAACCTACCACATCTCCGCGTAAGCGCAGGGAGAATGAGACTCCTCAGCAGCGCCTCAAACGAGAGAAGGCCGCCGAACGTCAGAGAAGGAAACGCGAGCGCGACCGGGCTGCAACTGGCATCGGCCCCCCTCCTGCGATGGTCTTCCCTGCAGTGTCCGCCCCCCATCCCCAAGACCCGCATTTCCACCAGCAAGACTACCTCTCCGCCCCGCCCCAGATGGCCCCTGTTGCTGTCCGACCTGATGACAGTCACCTCACGCCAGAGGAAATAGCGCGACGGGATCGAGTTCGAGCGTCTGCAAGGGACCGGCAGCGCAAGCATCGACAGCTGGTCAAGCAACGTAAGATGCGCGAGTTAGGTCTCGATATGGGAAATGAAGTGATGCCTCCCATGGACGACGCGAGTGCTGCGGCTGGCCCCCCTCCGATACACTACCGCGTTGATGCGGACGGGAACTATGCGCCTGTTACCGTGTTGGCACCACATGAACTCCAGCAAGCGTTGCAACTCCAGTCAGGCCCCGAGCCACCATTCCCTGCCGGTCCTGTACACGGGGGGCAGACCTTCGCCACCACTCTGCTGCTCTCGTTTTCCTGTGCTCCTCTGTTGAAGCAGCACCTGCTTCGGACGCTCAATATGGAGAACGACGAGTTGCCCACTCTTGAACCGGTAATTGCTGAAGCCTGGGACCGATGGGACCATGCGGTACGTTTGAATACCGTTGGTTGACCTTTCATTGACCGGCCAATCTAGCGACGAGGATTGGTCTATCATCCGCCAGGCTCGCAAGAGTTTGCCGGTGCCCCCTCAGGACCAACCTACCCTTATGCGGAGGCAGCACCCGCCGGTCTGCTTCTTGTGACCTCTTGTCTTTTCCATTTCGCTCAACGTCTGATGTACAGGTCCGCCTCCGACGCAAGACTTCCGCAGCCGTTTTGCCGGGGCCATGACTGTTCCGGTGCCGTTCAGAGCTGCATTCGTTGCGGCACAGGCCAACGGTGTAGGTGACCAGGGTGTATCCGTGAATGGCACCGATGCTGCAGGTATGATTTTCAATGGTCTTAAGCAAGTATTTGATTTCTGAACACCTACCAGGCACCAACGCAGGCCAGGCGGGAACGATTGATCCTCATCTGGGACAGGGAAGCGAAGACAAGGATGACAACGCTGTCTGAACCTGGCCTTGGACTCTGGTTTCTGTATTTGTACTTTTGATTGCATGTTGATAATGTTTTCCTATCTTATTTGCAGGGCACTTTTTCTTTCTCTCGTCACATTGTTGATATGACTGTTGAGTCATGAGCAAATAGGGTTGATGTCCGTCAAACGGCGAAGTTGATTTCCTATTTCGGCATCGACGGAAAGGTTCAAGTTTTGAAGCACAACGAAAACATGAGAATCGAGGACGACGAGATTGCTCTTGCGCATGTTCTGCAATGCTTGCATGCAGTCAGTCAAGGATAAGAGGTGGCTGTGATCCTTTATTTGGCCTGTGGAATTGCTTCTTCTCAACGTTCTTTTGGAACCAACAGAGTGTTTATTATAAGTAGCATGGGGCCTTCCAGTCGTCATTCAGACATCCCCCGAAGTCGCCAGCGATGACTCGCATCCTGCTCTGCATCCTGCTGTTTGTGTCCGCAACGAATTGTCAAACATGGCAAGCACTGTCCCAGGGTTTCTGTGTGTAGCTTGATGCGACCGCGATCCACTTTCCAGGTGTGGCAAAAATTACATGTCTACTGAGCCAGTCACGGATCCTGGTTAGTACTACATTTGCGCCACCGTCGTTCGATCTGAATATCTCGTACAGGAGGACGATTTCCGATCCCAACGATTTCCGAGTCGCCTCTGCTAGCGCTGAGATGCGGGCCTGCTATCCGCCCTTATCTGCCAGAAGATGCGAAGAGCACAAACACGGGGTCGCCGGCAACGATCCTCGTTGACACGCCTGTGACTTTTTCGCACGTCTCGAATGCGGTGCCCATCTCTCTCGAGTCCGGCGCGCACACTGTCCAAGTCTCCGTGTCGATCAACGGCAAGAATATTGCGAGCGGAACGGTACCACTCAATGCGACGAAACATGCGCTCCCGTTCTCGCTGTCCGCACTAAAGCCCCAGAGTGCAGCGTACACGATCACGTGCTCTGCGACGTATTCCACACGGGCGCCGAAGGAGACTCAGAGATACTCCGCGACGGGCCTTCTGACGTATCTGCCTGATCCTCCGCCCGAGATTGGCTCTGTCACCAAATTCGACGCGCGGACGGGCGGGTTGTTGGCTCGACCAATCAATGGACCCAAAAACGCGCCCTTCGAGCCGGTGTTCCCGATTGGGTTCTACACGGGATTCGGAAACTATCTGCAAAACAACTTCACTACGGCACTGCCTCAGTTAAAGACACAGGGGTGAGTGGGGAGCCGTTCTGAATGGTGCGTTGAAGTTGAACGGATCCATAGATTCACTGTGGTAAGTCTTAAGCTCTCGGGGCTGGTTCTGCCCACGCTCAGATCTCCGACTGCAGGTGCACCCCATTCCGTCGTTCGACAATATCACGTTGCTCGAGCAAGTCCTCGATCGGATGGAAGCGGTAAGTCCCAGCTGTCGTTCCCGTGGGTGCTTCATCGAAGAAATCGCTCCCAGGAAGGACTGTACCTGATGTATGACATGCGCCTGTACGATCTCGCGATTTCCTCCCCGGCTGGGTCTGACCTGTAAACAAAAATCCAGGACATACATGAACGACACATCGGTTACGGAACAAGTCAATCTCATCAAATCGCGCAAGGGGCTTCTTTTGTGGTACACCGGAGACGAGCCAGACGGGACATCAGATCCGCTGACTGCCACCACGCATGCCGCGAACCTCATCAGGTCGCTCGATGGCGGAGACGGCCTTGGCGGCGCTGGGTACCATCCTGTCTCCCTCGTGCTCAACTGCGAGAACTACTTCTTCACCGAATACACGAGTGGAGCCGATGTCGTGCTGCAAGACACGTACACCATCGGAAACAATCTCTCGTTCTCGACTGTGTGGGGAACTCCGTGCACGGATGGTGCGCTCTCGTTGTTTTGCTAGCAAACCCTTCAATGACGAATGCGATTCTTGGACAGATTACGGCGATTGCGGTTGCGACAATTGCCACACTGGGTTCCCAGACATCGCCACCCGGATGGATGTGTTCAAGCAGCGCATCTTCAGTAATGGCTGGGAGTTGAGCAAGTCCGTATGGACTGTACCGCAGGGCTTTGGCAACGAAACGTGGGTCTCACTCACTGTGTCCGTCGTTTCCAATAATTGACATACCCTTTCCAGATACTGGCCTCGGTATCCCAGCGGAAAAGAATGGATTGTTGAAAGTGTATTGGGAATCAACCACGGCGGACTTGGTTCGTACTTCATCGCGTCTCAGATCTATTGGCTAAATTTCCGCAGGTGTCGTGTCTTGGGATGATCCAACGACTCCAGACGTCAAGAGCTCCGCGTCTTCCTTGGCGTTAGCTCTCTCGGCGAGTATGAAATCGTTCATCATGAGCGCGAGCGCGACTATTACGCAACGGACGTTCTCCACCGGGCTGGATGTCGCTCTCTGGACAGTGGGCCGTCAGACGCTCGTGCTGGCGACGAACATCAACTACCGCGAGGTCTCTCTCCCGCTTTCCGAACTCAATCTCGCGGGCACGGTGAAACAGGTATTTGACAGCGGAGCATTTGTGCGTTCGGGAGCGTTGCATCTCTCGTCGGTCGGCTCGGGCGGGTTTATCATCACACATTAGCACCAGAGGATAACAGATTGTGAACACTTCGATTGCAATTCATGACACGAACGATTCTAGGTACCAGACATTCTACTTGCCCAACCCAGCGCGAATGGCGTTGTGCAGGGTCACTCCGTCGTCCTGAATTGCATGTCAGCGAGAAGAATGCGGATCTTCAGTTTACGCACTTGATCTAGCGACCAGGTAAAACATCCGGCCATGCCCTTCGATTTTGCGAACCCGGCTTTTTGCTGAAGAGACGCCGTGTCTGTTGGGATATTATTCAATCTGAGACGAAGTCACATCTGATTTGAATACCATCGTACGCCACCACGGATCTCTGCGAAACACTGTAGAGCAGCGGGGTCGAGCTGCACTTGTCCCAAGCTGGGAGCTCGTCATTAGACTATATGCGCAAGATTTCAGGCCTCTGACCTCGCGAAAAACCCGGTCCAGCGCCGTAACTGAACGCGACATGAAGAGAAGAGAGGTATACTGTTCGAGGCCACAGACTTACGTTCCATCGCCTTTCTTGACAAGAGCACCGCTGGCAAGCAGAGAATTGAACGGAATCGCCTGTCCCCACCAGGGCTTCAGATTGGCTGTGGCCTTGATCTCGACTGGGTTCGACGTGGTTTGTTCGATCCGCTCGATCTTCTTGTTAGCGCCAGGTGTTGCGTTACTGACAGGTGCATCGCCTTCTTCGGCCGGGTCGACAAATCCTTCAAGCATCGTCCTGGAGGAGTTGTAGACATAACCGTAGAGCGGGACTCCGAGCATCAGTTTCGAGGCAGGGAACTTGGCGGTGGTCCATTGCTTGAATGCCGCTTGAGCAGTGAACTCGGGCTGAGAAGAGCCGTTGCATAGATCTCCTAGCGGTGCGTTCGGGCCAGGCTAGATTTCAAAAGCTGTGAGAATGGGAAGGGAGAAGGGTAACTAGAGAGACGCTCGTACTGTGCTGGACCATGAACCGTTGATGTCGTAGTTCATCCTGGGCATTGTTGTAGACATAGAATGATCCACAGCAAAGACACTTGCAAATTAACGTAGGTGAGCTCAGCCGCATACTCTGACAAGTCGGTCAAGGGATTGCCGTCTGGTCCCAGCCAGGGCAGATCGATCACTGCGGCCGATATGATCTTCGATGGTCCTTGAGCGCATTTCTAAAATCAAAACTTGATAATGCGTGGGCTCGAACATACCGAGCGATCCACGTAGGCTCTTCAAAAGACTGAGGAAGTTTGCAGAGTCCTTAGCCCCGTACGGATTACCGGCGCCGACCGAATTGGGATATTCCTGGAAGCGGTAAGTCAGCAAAGACTCGCACAGAGGATTGAGACGCACCCAATCGATGTCGATCCCATCCAGACTAAATGCTTTAACGACATTGGACAAATTCGTAACGAACTTGGCGCGGTTGGCTGTGCTGGACGTAATACTATGGAACGCCGTACTCCCGTTCCAACCCCCTGGCAATATGAGTGCTGCGCTCGGATGCGATTAGCGAGTGGGCCGACTTGCCTACAGAAAGTACGATCTTGGTTCCCTTTCCGCTCTTCTTAGCCGCTGCGACAAGCCGTTTCAATAAAGACTGGTCCTCGGGCGACCAAGTTAACGCAGATGAAGTGTTTGGAATTGCAAATGCTGCAGGTGATTTGAGTCTTGATGTAGAAAAGACAGCCAATCCAGGGACCATACCAAAGAATAAGATATCGAATCTAGAATAGTCGAGTTTTTCAGGAATATATGCGTCAGAAGACCACGCTTTTTGATGTCAGAACGTGTTGTAGTCAATGCAAGATTGACATACAAGGGTAGTATGCGGCTGCTTGGAAGCTCTTAGCATCAGGCACGGGAGCACCAGCGGTCAGCGCTTCGAAGGTCGTTCTCGACAGAGTGGACGGAAGAGCGTCTTCAAGTTGGAAGGCTTGTAGATGGAGCGCGGTCGTGTCCGCATTCAGAAACTCCAGGATAGCAGGTATATGCTCTGAGGTTTTCGAAAGTTGATTGAGATAGCGCTCGAGTCCTTCCTTGCGTTCTGCGATCAAAGCGTCGTCAACCCATGCAGAAGGTATAAACAGCGTGGTGAGCAGCCTCTTGGGAGGCAATTCGGGGGCGCCAGGACCAGCGCCGATCGCATTATGAAAGGCAGCGAACTTGAACCGAGTGAAGATATATGATCGAGGTCAGAATCGAGAACAGCTTGCCTCGGAGTACCGCTTCAGAACAGTGTGGCGGGTGCCGTTGTGCTCGAAGTCGAACTTGTAAAGAATGTGGGGACGCGGAGACGAGGCCGTTGTGTGACCAGAAACTTTGAATTGGAATGGAGCGGACATGGATTGAGTTGGGGAAGAGATTCGTTGCAGAATCGAAAAGTTGGCTCGTGCCTCATATAACTGGAGGTAATGTTGTCATAAAACACTACCAGAGACAAATAGGAGCTGATACGATCGTGACGTTATACCCAGGTACATTGAACTGCCAGAGCCCAGAACAGATAGCAGTCGTTCTATGGCGAACGAAAAACCTATCATGGACAACTCAGAGAAGTTCAGAAGCTTGTGACGTCACGCGCTATTTGGGTATGTGTGGCGCGCTCTTGGTCTGCTCTTCCTCATTACCTTGACCTACCGACCCGCGATTGAAGACTCTGTGAAGATGTTAGACCTTATGATTAGCCTGGCCTCAGGCTATAATGACTTGAAATCAAAAGACTCGATCGCTGTCTCAGATGTATCTTGATGGAGGGACTTGCGGTGAACGAGTCTATCCGCTTAGTCTTCAAATGAAAGCTTCGAGCGGTCGTAGGCGCATTATGTATCCAATCGCCACTTCGGATGAATTTGCCAAACCAATTTTCGGCAGCCTCCAGACTTGGGTCCCTCAGGCGTCCACTCTCGTGCTTCACGTTCTGATTGGAGGCATCAAGGTTTCTGCGAGTCGCGTCGGCTTCACAGGGATGACACGAATCTCTGCGGAGCTGTCTGTGCATGGTCACTGGGACAAAGCGCAACAGCTATGCGATGCCGATTGTGATAAGAACTTCGAGACGACTTGACTTGGTTTGTCGGCGAGCGACATTAGATGTCCCGGGTTACCGTGGAGATGCTTGATCCCTCATGGAAGACACAAGTTTCGTATGGAAGTCAAAGTCTGACTCAAGGTCTGATGGGTCGCCACCAGCTTTGAACCAATGTCTGCATTAAATGTATGAATCTGAAGCACTTCTTGAATCGTTTGTCTGAATTTAACGTCGTGGAATGTGTTTTGAATCACTAGAAGAAGGAAACTACAGTACTTTGTGAAGCCAAGGCCTCGCACCGACACTTGCACTCGCAAGCGGTCTTCCCAATCCCCCATATGGGATGGTATCCGTCTCTCTCTGTGTCTCACAAACCTGATAATGCACTCTTGCGCTGACGTCTCGGTGAATTGACCAGGTCTGCAGATCGATCGATCAATTGCTTCCACGATCCGAACTTTGGCCGGTCGTGGAGACGAGCCTGCTCCTTGGAGTATTAACTCACTGCCTTCGAGCCCGACCCTAGGAATCGGCTTTTCACCCCCGCTGGATCTTTACACCGCCGTGTGAACGGATCTCTACAGAATCTATAATCACGAGGGTGACGTGATCGCTTATTTAAGCTGTATGTAGAGTCACGTGTCCTCCACGAGGACGAGAACCGGGTTGCATGCCCGGACTTGCCACGGCAGTTGGGCGTGTTGAGAAGTTTCCAGGAGGTTTTCACCGTGCAGTCCATGATACGATTACATTGCTGGCTTGCCAAGGCACCGCCCCTCATATGAATCATTTTGCCCGCGGCTCCGGAAATGATGATTTGTTTGGTCGTGATTGCCGTCGACGACTGTCCTCTGTCCGTGTCTTCACACAGGACATCTCTGCCGGATCGCTACCTGCAGCGTCCGCCTCTCCTAGACTTATCGTCTTCTTCCAGCTGCTTCTCAGCCTGCTGGCAGGTCTCTTTTGACGACCACCGCACGCGCAGAAAACAGAAAAACCCCAACTCCGCCATCTACTTTATCTCTTTGACATTCGTCTGTATTTTTTTCTACCTCGATACATCTGCTTGCCTTTCTTACGATCCTCATGTAGAATGAGCAAACCCTCGACTGCCTCATTATCGAAGATTTCGACTCAGCTACCGCAAAAGTCTGCTTGGGCAAAGGGCCCGCCTCAAAATACTTCGGCACCATCACCTCGGTCGCAATCTCCGGCACCTTCCGTTGCACCCCAACCCACACACTCGCGTCGCCCTAGTGCCCTTAGTGGTGGACCTGTGCATACTAAGGACGGAGTCAGCATACCTCGGAACAATGTTGGAGCTGTAAAACCAAGTGCGTCAACTGTCGGATCTTGACTTCAAACCTTTACTGAATAAATGCAACTCGCAGGCTCGGCTGTTACGTTTGGCTCTATAGACGACGCTTCTGCACCCATATCCTCCTCCCCAACCGCTGCGCCTACAATCAAATCCGAAAATGTCAAGTCTTTTGGGACGCTCCCAGCTCAGGCCAATATCGGAACAATAAACGGCAAACCATCGATGACAAAGCCGACAGTGGCCAGTGGACCGACTGCATCGACATCTGCGGCGGTTTCCTCTCCATCTCCATCCTCTTCGACACCACCCCCTACAAAAATTAGTAAGGTGGATGTCAGAAAACTCTTCCAGACCGCATCGTCCCCCGCACCTCCCTCACAACCCGAAACGCCCTCACCTTCACAACGCACCTCCAACCTTCCTCCCCAATCCTCTCAGCCGCCTCCAAATGGTGGACAGCCTCCGTCGCAACCATCACCCATGGGCGCCCACCCTTATCCGCCTCCATTCGTGCCCCAGAATGGTATGCGACCTCCACCCCAACCGAACACCGGCGGCCCTCCTCCCAGGTCGCCAGTATACTCTCGACAACCGATGGCCAATGGGAATGGACCCAGACCATCGAATGGACCCAACGGTCCGGGCGCTCCGTCGCAGATGCCGTCCGGTATGGGCAGTCCGCGAATGTCTCAGCACCCGCAGCCTGGGATGCCAGCGCCTGGAATGCCTCCCGCACCAATGCAACAGCCAATGTGGCAGGGTTACTATGTACGCTTACCA